ATATTAAATAATTTTATTAATATATTTTTTAATTATTAAATTAAGAAAATTTATTATAATAATTAAAAAATATATAATAAAAGTAATAATTTTAAGAAAATAACTTAGTTTAATAAATAATTTATTTTAATAATTAGTACTTTTTTAAGGGTATAAGCGAAGATAGAACTAAAAGAGTAGGGGCGTGGCACGAGTATAGAGAGGGCTTTATATTAATAGTTAATTCTCTCAATAACTAGCGAATTGAACTATTCAAAAATGCAGTGTGTTTCATAGCTCCACCAAGTCTTAGCCACATCTTATTTAGACAACATCTGAGTCTAAATGCGTTCATCGTTGATTGCGCACTTAGTCTTTGGCTTACGCTTCTACCTCGCCACTCAATGTACTCGTCAATCGGTTCGGGCTCTTCAGGCCGCCATGTCATGCACAGCTCTTTCCCCCCTTCTTTTCCTTTGTCCTTTCCGGAACCGTAAACCCATCCTCTTGCACCTTTCTTTTGCCTTGTGCTCCTCAAGGTCCGATATGGGCACGACGTCGAATTTCAGATCATCCACTGACAACTCGTTTGCTCTATTTTTTTCACGCGCTTCATATGCAGGCGACTGTTGGGCTTCACATCGCCCTTGATCGAGGCGAGTTGTAACATGCCAATTATGGGCCGCCGTCAAATCCATCGGCGGGGATAGCGTCGTTAGTAGGCTTGATAGACCAACACTGGAACAATTTCTTTGAGATCAACAAACCGGCACGACGAATCACAATGCCCTCTTCAATACAGCAGCAGCTTCATCGAGGTGTTGGGATATGTCATGTTGGCGCAAATACTCGTTCGCAAAAAGGCACACTTGCTTCTCCCAATCTCCTGGTGCAATATTTTGGAGAACACCATACTCATCAAAAGCGAATCGAAAGTACAGGCCGTCCGCTTGGAGTCTCTTGAGAACCATGGCCGCTTTTGCAGTCAAATACTTCGCCGCGTCTGGGAATGGCGCGCCATCTGTTCCAATGCAAACAAGACAGGCAATCTCACGCTCGGGGAAGAGGCGGACTGCCTCGTCCAAGATGTGATTGATCAGATCAGCCTCATGGTGGCCCGTTTTGGTGGGCTGCTGGGCAATTTCAGTTGGTCGGGCATATCGACACGGACTCCGACTTGACTCGAACGAGACCCAAAGAAAAACCTTGAGGGCGGCTAGTAGATATCGGGCGATAAGGTGAAATTCCCGTGTGCTGCGTTAATAGCTGAGCCAAGGGCATTTGCAGAACCTCATTGTGTGGTGTGGACTGTCCATGTGTGTCCATGTGCAGCGGCAGAGGACGAGAAAACTATTCGTGCAAATGTTGAATGCTGAATGCTGGAGCCAATTTCACAATCTCCACATTTCGCCCGGAATCTTCATGTAATCTAACTGCTCGATTCTATAACTATTGGAATATTGTGTTCATAATCATGTCGATCGGTAAAGCTAAGGTTGCTTATTGGCGTGGCTTCTTAAAAGATGCTTGCAACCTTCACATAAGTAAAGATGTGGAACTGGGCGAGCAACATAATGCTCTTCCTCTATTTAGCAATTAAAACACTCGAAAATAAATCGCCTAGTTCTAAAAAATTCGTCGTCTGTTAACAATCCTCAATCCGTCTACTACTTGCCCATCTCTAATAAATTCCGTAATCCAGCCACGACTTGAGAGACGCCTTATCCTCCCAAGTCGTCGGAATACGCCGTCACCGTTTGCTTCACCTCAGCTTGGCGAGTTAGAAGGTATCAACGGTATCAGCAGGGAAATCAACATAGCCCTGTCGTCTAACAAATGTCTGCAACCAAGGCCGCTGTTTCCTGTCTTCAGAGAGCTGCCCATATAGCTCGGCATGAGCCGCGCCACTAATATCCTTACTACAGAGCTTGCCAGATGTTCGCCGTTCATCTGCATAATAGAACCTGCCGAATATTGGTATTAAGTCGGTACTGTTCCTGCGTGGCAAAACCTACTCGTAACCCTTGTCTGCAAATGCTGCAGCTGCAGATGCAATCATGTGCGCAGTGGCACTCTGGCCAACACCCAAAGTTAGGAGTCCATCAAATGATGCAAAAGTTATAGCGTTTCCACTGTGTTTTGAACAGTCAGTTCCCATAAGAGCTAGGCTTGTACTAAAACTATTGGAAACTGCTATACATAGCTTTGCGACTTACGTGTAGATAAAAGTGCAAGAAGTGCTAGTAGGTAAGGCTGAAAAAGACGTCAGGGCTTCTTTAATCGCAACAAATACACTGGTGGTATTTATGTTAAGATCCTATTCGAATGTGCCAAGGCCAAGATTAAAAGTATTCTCCTTGTGCGCGAATGAGACCGCACCAGCTGTAACCTAGTCAGAATCCCTGATACGCTCTAAATAGGACATTTTAGACGTACCGTTATAAAAAACTACGCTTGGCTCTCCGTGGAGTTTCCGAACTTGGGTAAAAATATCAACAACTGGCTTGGATTGAGAAAGGTCGCCTTTGATGTGGGATAACAACGGGCTAGCATTCTCAGGGACTTTTCTTAACGTGAGAACGCCTTTGTAGCCTTCAGAAGCAAATTCCCTGGCGACACTAGCTCCAATATTAGGTCCTTCTCCAAGAGTTAGCGCGATTAGTACGTTGGAAGACATGGCTTGAGTCAATTAATCTATTATTGCAAAGCCTATTGTTTAGTTTGTCAAGATTGAGCAGGGAGTTCAAAATTGCTAATTTTATCAATATTTACAAATGTTTTAAAGCCTCAAGGCTTCCAGAAGCTCGGCTTGGGCGCCAAAAGCCGCCAACCCCGTTAACTGAGCAGCATCTCGGAGGAAAGTCCCCATCTTCTGATCGGATGCCATATCTCGAGTAGGGTCTCGGGCTTCACTAGGTCGGCGACGGTCAAGTTGTAGTCGGAGCCGATGCGAGACACCTTGTCCGCATCAATCGGGAAAAGATCAAATGTAGGTCTCTCACACTCTATCTTGGCCTCGTAGACGACAGGGAATCGTTGGAAGAACTTGTTGGTGGCTTCAAGCAGTGCGTTGCCCGACGTGAATGTAGCCACAGTGAACTTTGGATCGTAGAATACCACCCGGTTGAATTGCCCTTCCTTATCACACCCAGCAACATGGAATGTACCTCTGTGTGCATTGCTATCATGGTGGTGTCGGTGCTATTTATGAGTATGCCGATAGCGTCCTCAAATTTCATGTGGCGAATTGGCTTTGACACCTCCGTCGCCAGGTAGCTAGTGTGAAGATCCTCCAAAGATCGTTTGAACATCGCCGCACTCTCCATGTCGGATTCTTTGCTGGGGCAAAGGGCACCCAGCTTGGCGCAAAGCTGGTTAATGGCGAATTCTGACGATGCCAGCGCCACAGACATGGCGTAGACCAAAGCATAACAACGGCCGCCGTCATGCTTGTCAGGAATGGCACGGAGAAGAATATCTTTCGGCATGGGTTTTATAGAACCTCCCATATCTTGGAAAATGCCAGCAACGTCGACGTTCGTTGCCTAAAAAGATTTATTGAATACGTTGTTTCTAGCCAGCTCGATGCGACAGAGCAACGCTCCTTGTTCGGTTTCCGTCAATGTAGTCGACGATCGATCGAACAACTGTACCAGTTCAGATAGTATCATTTCGGGCCCGTATCCCGGGATCTAGACTGATTCGAATGTCTTGTATCCCTTTGAAAACGCGTCATCGTGTGCCAAAAGCGCCCCGAACCGCTGTTCAGACGTGACAAGGGCCGTATAGCTGGGCTTGGAACTGTTACACGGAAAAGGCCCAACAGATTGTGACGCCCAATAAAGGGGCTTTACTGATACAGGACTTATTAATTACATAGCTTAAACACGTGCTTAGGCTAGAATTCTAAGCCTAGGTATTTCTTTTATATATATAAGGTAATTACTTTTTTTTTATAGTAACTTAAAATCTTAAAGACCCTTTAAGATTATTATTAAATTAAGCCCTTTTGCTCTAAGCCTTCTACGTTGAACCCTTGTCACAGGAACGTAATGAGTTGAATTCAATCTTTACTAGTCGACCCCGAGGTATCAAACGTCCCTAGTTTTCCGAGAGGCCTTGAGGGACCAAAGGTCTGTATAATTAGGATGCGACCTCGGGCCTCGTGATGCTTTCTTTGATGTCGTCGATGTAATCGTTGTTGGCCTAACGCCTTTATTAAGGCCTAACCGTGTGACAACCACCAGACTTATAGTCGCTGATGGGGTTCACTGTGCTGTGCGGGGTTCAGAAAATTCAATATCAAAAACTTGAGAGTCAAGTACTCAATGGACTGCAAATATTCGTTTTCCACTTGTCCCCGTAGGCAAAGCGAATAGATAAATACAGGGCGCCAGTGTGATGCTCCAACTCGCATTTTCCCCAAACCATATAAGCTGAGAATTACCGCCAGTGGCTTCCGTCCCGAGAAACAAGAAGAACCGGGAGAAATGTAGTGCTAATCCACAACTGCTTTCTTGTTTTCCTAGATATGGCCGGTTGTCAACTAGGCGACTTTTCACTCACGGCTACAAGAACAGCCAACATTAAAGGCAGTAATAAAGCGGCCCTAGTCTCTCTTAACACCTAGTTTCCCAACACTCCTAAGGCCGTAAATGCCTATCACCCCTGCCGTACACCCCATTCCAAAGTTATACCACCAGCCGGCTTTATAGCCTTGTAGAGACGCCTCCTTGGGATCGAATGCTCCACAGGAAGCTGTTATTTGCTGAGCAATAATTGCGGTTGTAGCGATGCCTACACTCTTGCCGACTTGTGCAGGCATGTTGAAGACACCGCCAGCCAGCGCTTGCATATCTGCAGGAAAAGCATCTGTCAAGACCAGATTAGCGATGGTGTAGATGAGATCTGCACCCAAGGGATTAAGGGCCATGGCCTGGAAGACACCGTGCCAGTACCCTGGGCCATTGATGCGGCACAAGGTTGCTAGAATAACGGGAGCAATGCCGCTGACAAAACAGCCTACCGGCACAGCGACCGAAGGCCTCAGGTACGGAAGGAGGACAGCAATCGCTACATTCATTAAAGCGCCGCAGATGGGAGCCGGTAGAAAGTAAAGAGAGGATTTCATGGTTGAGAAGCCGCGGATATCCTCCAAGTAGAAAGCTGCAAGTTGCTCACTGGCGTTGAGGGCACCCCAAACGAGGAAGACGGTAGCACAAACAGTGGCAAAAGGCACACTCTTCCATAGCGAGTTGGGAATCAATGCCGGTCTGCCGCGATTCTCCTGATGGCGCATCCACAGACTAAACGCTGGCAAAAGCGCCAACGCTAAGCAAAGAAGCACTGCATTGATGGGCTGACGCATGAGTCTTGCTGCATCTGTGCCTGTTGCAATTGCAAGCATATAGGAAAGAAGTGCCAGACTAGCACTAATAAGCAACGCTCCGATCCAATCAATGTCCCCCCTTAGATGAGACATGATTGTTCGGTTTAAACTTGGATCAACACCCGCAGGCAGCGCCCACAGAGCCAATGCCAATACCACGATGTTCAGAATCGCGGCGGTGTAGAATCCCCATCGCCAGCCGATGGTATCGCTGAATATGCCGCCTAGAACAAGACCCAAGCCAAAGCCGACGGCCTGACCGCCGCCCATGGCCGCAAAGGCAGCGCTGCGACTTTTGTGCATGGTAGTTGCGGGAAATGAGCGCGATGCAATGGCGACAGCGCTGGGCAGACATAAAGATGCGGCCACCCCAGCCAGAGCGCGTAGCGCAACAAGTTCCGAAGCCGTGTTGCAAAGGCCGGCCCCTAAGCTGCTGCCGGACTGGAGTAATGCTCCGATGAGAAGGACACGTCGGCTACCCAACACGTCGGCCACAGTAGCACAGATGAGAAGCGTACATCCGCACGCCAAGGCAAATGCGGACGCAGGTCAGAGTTGGAGCTCGGGGGGGATCAGCAGCTCATCGGAGATGACTGGTATGCACACCGTCAAGAAGCCCGCCAAAAGGTTGCTGATTGCGGTTATACAGGTGATACAAGAGATGATGGCAACAGTTCGACCTCGGGATGCATGCAGGCCTGGCGGAGACACTGCATCATTCATCATCAAAGCGAATGATGGGTTCGGGGGCTGCCCTGACTCTGTGACCGTGTGTGTTGTTGTCGACATGTTTAATGACATGGGCCGAGTGTAAATGCCACGTTGTCAATACTGAAAAAGGAAAGCGAAGAGATATAAAGGAGATTCATGGTAGAGGGCGCTAAATGCGTGTTTACTATTGCGCAATCCTACCGGGGCTACTCCTACCATGGTTAGACTCCATTGTGGCGGTGTTTGCAGAACTCGACTTTACTTCAGATATGAGTATATATGTAACCAGTTAACCTCAATACATGTCAACTAGTACCAGACATATCCAGTCTGGTAACATTGAAAGTGGGCATGTGCTGAAAGAAGCACCTAATAACCAAAGGGCACATTGACTTGAAGAATAATTCAAAAGAGGGTTTATTTATCCATTCTAAAGAGTGACATCTCGGTTACTTGTCCAATTGACATTCGTCCGTGAACAAACGTGTAGATAGCGAGTGTAATATTTCCATGATAGGGGACTATCCCCTTTGACCAAAGAGCTAAGCCCAGGGTCTGTTCCAAAGGGAAGACAAGGAAGTAAAGTGGATTTACTCCTTTTCGTTCTGATCCGTCGAGTCCACAATTAGTATCATGCTACCAGCAAGCATCATTCATTTTAGACTATGCCAGCACTTACAGTAGGAAGACAAACTCCAACAAAAAAGTCGCAGGTACAACCTCGTTCGCAACCAGTCTAAAGTGTCGCTTTATTAGCATTCTATTTATTGCTGGGACAATATTCATATCAACAGCACCTACCATAGCGGTGCAAGCGGCTCCACATTTAGCCTGCGCTGCCCCCGATGCGGCGAAGAAAGCCAAGAGGGAAATGGTAAACTTCATATTGGCTACAAGGTGTCGGGTAATGTGACAAGGGTTCAACATGAAGGCTTAGAGCAAAAAGGGCTTAATTTAATAATAATCTTATAGGATATTAAAGGTTCTAAGTTATTATAAAAAAAAAAGAAAAAAGTAACCGCCTTATATATATAAAAAAAACGCTTAGGCTTAAGGTTTTTACCTAGGTATATATTTTAACTGTGTAATTAATAAGTTTTATATTAGCGAAGCCCTTTTATTGGGCTTCACGATCTCTTAGGCCTTTTCCGTGTAACACCGCGTATGACGGTCTAGCGAGTGTAATGATAACTGACTAGGTAATTCTAACGAATACCTAAAGTTGAGGAAGACAGGAAAGAATGAGAAAAGAAGAGCTCGAGAAGCTTTTCTATAGAAGCGAGAGCGCAGCCGAGCCATTCTTGCGCCTAGCCCGTTACACCGCGCAGCTCAGGCCCAAGGGAGTACGATACGGAGTCCCCAAGATTTTCGTTAATCCACGGGATATATTTCTTTCTTTTTAGCGTTTAGATACCTGTAGTAATCGCCTAGCTAGTTGTCAATATACTCGGCTTGGACTATTACAAAACATGTAACTTAGTTGAGGGTTACCAGTGGATGTATTGCAGCTCAGGATTTATGAATAGCGTCGGATAGGGTGGAATAATTAATTTAGCAAGCAGACTCGATGGAATTACTCGCGCGCTATAATATGAAATCTAGCTCCCTACTGTTCTCATATCGCGACAGTACGGGCGTGAGAAAGCATAACAATTGATCCTTAAATTTGTCCTCGATCCTCGGGCATTCTGGTCTTCGGGCAACTGCCATGTAGGGACTAGCCTCTTGGACATTCTTGCCTGATGCCCCTTGTGCCCTTCAGTTAATTCTGTGTCTCTGCGAAATCATACAGCACTGCTATGACGTATCACTAACTACATGGACAAAACGCCCTGTTCAACTTATAATTTATGCTGTGGATAAGTTATACATGATAATGTTAAAAACAGACGGCTTTGTTGGACTCGAATAATGAGAAAAGGGTCTAACGCGCATCATGTCTTCGGCCAGACGTCAGCGTAGTCAGCATGATATTCGGTCTTCTTGCTATGTGGACGCAGTACGCCTATCTTGAGCAGCTGTCAGTTGGCATAACTAGTCTTCCCGGAAGTCAGGAACGGGGATCCTTGACTAAAGATGCTGTTAGCATTCTCTTGTACCAACAAGCTGGTCAACTGCTTTCAGATGCCATCATATTATCATCGCTGGAATGTGTACAAGCCTGCCTCCTTTTGGGCACTTACACCTTGCCGATTGAGGCATCAGGTTCGTCATACATCTACCCCATCTTAGCGCTGAAACTCGCCATCCAGAATGGCATGCACAGACAATATTCCGGCACGAATATGGACGACCGGCGTCAGTATCCAATTTGAATGTAGATGCCAATTTCCCTACGGATTGTGCGTAAACATGGCCTTCGTCTGAACCTACACACAATGCCCAGATGTTAACCACACTGCACCTCAACGAGAAGCTAGACAAGCTATCTCAAGAAATGTACGCTCACTTACGTAGTCATGGCTCCCGTTTGTCCTAGCAACTCCACAAAGCTATTCTCAGAAAATCTCCCAAGGCTGAAATGAACCAAGACCTGGAAAATTGAGTCAAAATGCAGCACAATCCAGAAGACTAGTGGAACTCTCTGCCCAAGGAAATCTCCTGTAAAGAACCTCAGACATCAACAAACATGTCACGAGGCAGGATATATCTGAAACTCAAGTACTGCCTAGTCCGCATGTTCGTCGGCCGGGTCGTCATTCTCCCGCAACTAGGCCAGGGTAACAGCTCCGGCGTCTCTGAATCATCCCCCAAGGAGTCTTCAACCGTATCATTGACACGTAAACGATTGCGTTAAGGCTGCCATGCTAGTCATGGACATGTGCCGTGCTATTCGAAACAGGGTCGGCCTTGGTCTTTCCCGAGCATCATACACAATATCAGGTTCGCTCGGGCAGCTCTTCTCGTTATTACTACACAATGTCTCCAGCAGAGAACATACCGATTCGTCAGTCCTTGCGAGATGGACCGTCAATGCTTAAGGAAATGACATCGGGTAGGGAGTCTGCACACTCTGCGTGAAAGAATGACTATATAGCATTTTCTGTGCCCGAGGAGGGTACACAGGGCCGCAGTATAGATACGGCACCACTTACGACGAATTTCGCAAGATCTGACGCTAATGAATTTTCTCATGACGTGCTGTGCCCGTCTTTGCGCACCCTTTTTCGAGGTAAACGGGGCCCTTGCATCGTTTCCGCAAAACCCAGAGGATCTATCGGATTTCTCTGGAGTGGATTTCGGATCCGGGTAAAATTTCGGAGCAGAGTGAAGTTTTAGGTCACGACACAAGGCTAGGGGGAATTCTTCGAATAACCGCTATTCATCTAGACCTCGACGAAGAGATTAATGTCTCTAAGTACTAGGTACAACGAGGCAAATAACGAGGCGAACTCACAGCTGGCTAGAGCCAGACAAAGACACCTAGTATACGAAATATGGCAGGTAGACACGTACTTGAGGCGTCATCTATAAAAGCCAAGCAATCAACCAGATCGTCCTCAAGGCGGGAACTTTGTAGGATCGCTCAACGAACATTTGGAGGCGGTGGACCTGGACGCCGATCTCTTTCAAGTCGAAGTGTCGAATATTGAGGTTATGATTTCAATGTAACAACACCCTCTCAGATCATACCTTTCTTACAGACATGGATAAACTCCAGAGCTGTCTTCTCGAATACATTCTCGGTGCGCAGCGCTCAGCCTTCCCACTGGACGAGGGCATAGGAAGAGATATCAAGAGACAAGAGTAAACTTGACAACAAGGTCTACATGCGTACGATGTCCTACTAGAGAGAGAGACTAAAGAGTAAGGCATCGATTTGGATGTAGCTGCCTTACTAGGAAGCATCAAATTCTCTAGGCTGACGTTGCTTCGCCAGGGAGTTAATAATAGTCTAATATTGTTCCAAACTGCAAAGTGTTTTCTTACTTTTTGCATAGCCATTGCATGCCAATTATTACAGAGTTCAGATGCAGCAAATTGAGGAGAAAAGCTTGTCATATGTTCAGCTGCGACATAGCAAAGAGTGTCGTTGCAGATAATAAACTGTCTTAATCCCTGGCCTATGACTTCTCGGCGATGCTCTTTTACTTTCTACATTTACAGTCAAGCCTAACTACTCCTATCAAGCTGCGGCTTGCGTAATATATCCATTTTAATTTCTTTGATGTTTGGGAGACTGAAAGACCGTACGTGGCAACCTGCGATTAGTCTCTCACATCAGCGTCCACAGTTTCCAAAGAAGATGTGGGTAGATGTAGCATATAGAGGTGGAAGATAATAAAGGGAACTAAGGACATTGAAGGATAGACACTTGCACAAGGAAGCATATAAGCAACTAGGCTTTTGGCAAATCTAGTTACATGAGTGATAACACAATGGCATAGCTGGCTATGGACCTGGTCCCCCACAATCCATCATTTGTATTTCCAGCGGTCTTGCCAGCAAGTCTTTGCTCTTTGTTCTGCTAACGTGGTCATGACTGAACACGAATTCAGGACGTAGAAACAAAGTGTACCCATGGGTGGCGAGGCGGGCTTCTTTGGCTGCGATTTGGCCATGTGACGTGTGCACCATCCAGCTAACTGGAAGACGCTGAAGATGCAGCTTTGGCGTCGTGGTTTGCAAATTGAATGTCTACATATGTAGGGGAGGTTGTCGCGTCATCGAGTTCATCATCGTCTAGAGCGAACGAAAGCTGACAGGTACGTGATGGTCTATGCAGAGTCCGTAACAGAAGGCAGGTATATGTCAACCTTGAACAAGTCTACATTTTTTCAAATGCAATCATGATAAAACGAGATATATTGGCATTGATCTTCATGCTCTTGTCCAAGCGGATTCTATTGACCTAGACTATACCAGGAAAGCGAGGAAGAAATACCTACTCAAAGAGGTTATGTTAGACACTAACTCGGAGTCTGATGCTTTGGTTGTTGACAGCAAGAAGAATAAACTACCAAGGGTGGCCCGGATACTGACCTTTTCTTCAACATGAAGAGGCTATAAATTGCATGTTGGGCTGCAAGCAATGATGAATTGCGACGCTATTCCGGGCCAAGTCATGTGTTCAAATGAACCACATGTGGTACCTGTTGAGTCAACAACAGCAATTTGCACCGTGGAAAACTAGCTATTTTGGGAGGCTTTTTGGGGCCTCAATTGATAGCCTGTATTAATAATTGATGATGGAAGGTCTGAGTTGATTGATAAAAAATGCCGCAAATTTAACCCTGCAAGCCCCTACGAATGCCTGACGATCATTTCAGCCCTGAACTTTAACCTTCAAACGTTAGCTTGACTTGGTAGTACTTGACTAGATAGGCAAGGGCGATTGCTTGAACAGGCCACGCCGCGAGCCATTATACAAGGCAACAAGGTCGTTGCTGCAATTCATCAATGGCTGCAATCATACGATTCATGCACATGTTCCCGATTTAGCAGGTATGTGACGCGTATGTGGGCTGCATTGACAATGCCCTAGAACAGACGGAACTACGACGGATTCCGCTTTACTTAAAGCACATCTTCACGTGCCTTCTAGACCAGGATTAAATGGGATGTCCAGTAAGTAGATCGTTGGTGTTTGGTAGTGACATGTCGTTGTCTGGTAGATGATACATATATTGCCCTGAGATTGTGTGGTTCGTCCGGCACTGGGACCAAAACAAACAGCAGGTACTTACATAAAAATGGCCGCACAACTGCCATTAGGCCCTCAAGGTGTAATACCTCTCTAGTTGTATATTGTGGGAATGTTGCTATTTTCTGCAAACTAGTCAAGGTGGCAGAGCTGCTTCGTATGGTCTATTGAGGCTTGGGGACTGGGGTGCACATAAAACTCGCAATCGTCCCACAACCCAACGTGCTTACGACACAGCCTGCAAATGCCAAGGTCAAAAATAATCTAGTTCATCGTAGTTGACATTATAACTAGCCTGTCAAGTTGGGTCTTTTGAGAGTTTGTAGAGTATCCTCTGCATTACTGTCACGCAATAATTGTGGCATATCGTACCTTGCTAGATGTCAACCACGCCCGGGCATTTCTATATTTAGAATAGATTTTCTTTTCTTTGTCCTACTAGTATTAGCAAGTAATAACTTCGATATGCCAAGCCCAGCCCTTGTAAGGGAATCCGTGCCTGCTAATTATTGAAAAGAAGACTATCAAATGGGATCTGCAATGGCGTACACTTTGCTTCCCCTGCCCAGTCCAACAAACCTGGCTTAGATGTGACTCCCCAGCATCCTTTTCCGAGGGTGTCCGTGTAAAACCTTGATAGCTACCCATTATGACGCACGGCTACTCGGTATTAGAGACTTGGCCAATGTGCCTTCATTGTAGCAGCCTATTTATACGAAATTAGTTTATGCGTCCTCAGCTTCTTGGTGTCTATTACGCTTTGATATTGCCTCATATTAATATAATCCCAGTCGTTTTCTCAAGTATATAAGGGAGAGATTGCGGCCTCAATTTCTTTCATCACATCATACATACTCACCAAGCTTTCAGAGTTGCATCTGACAGTACCCAACTTTTACACTCAGATTCCATCTTTATTTTCTATATATACATAGGCTTCACAAGGCCTGTACCAGCACCCATGGGGAAATTCATGTTGAGCTTCATCCTGGGCATTGCCCTAGGTGACTGGCTCAGTGTTTTCTCGGCCGCTGCATTCAACCATCACAGGCGAGCTACTACATGTGATTTCAGCAATACCTTTGCTTTGTCAGTGGAAGAGCAGAACCTAAACCAGGAACTTCCAAACTATGGACTGTTCGGTCCAACTTTGATCCAAAAGGCGGGCTTCGTGCCGCAGGTTGACCAGATTTCGAACAACTTCTGTGGTGCCGACTCTTTTGATAAAGCCAAACAAAGCGTCCGGGAGGCAGGCAAATTGCTATTCCGGTTTGCTGTTGGCCGAGCGCAGAACGACAATACTGGTGGAGAGGTTGATCGATACGACGACCGCCCGCTCTACTGGGCTCGTCTGACTCTAACCAAGGCAATCAAACAGTGGAAGTCGGGTTTTGAGATGTCTGATGACGCCCGAAAGGAACTTGTCACTACGTTTGACTTGGCGTCACGCGGCCTGGATTCGGTTAGCTTTCCCACGGGCAACAGTGCCCGCCGCGTAATGGTTGCCGGTTTCGATCCGTTTCAGTTAAATGCGGACATCAGGACCGCCAACCCGTCCGGTGCTATAGCACTACAGCTATCTGGGAAGACATTCAACACTTCAGATGGTCCCATCGTCGTGCATGCAGTGGTCCTACCAGTGCTGTACGGAGAGAATGGCTTTGACGATGGCGTCGTAGAAGCAGCCTTTGGCCCTGCGCTTCAAGACGCAGAGCGGCGTCCAGACGGGATCGTGACCATAAGCCAGGGTCTTCCTGAACAATTCGACATTGAGCGCTGGGCTGGCGGTTGGCGAGGGGGTTTCCCGGACAATAATAACGTGAAATCTACCGGACCGGTTCCCCCAGCAGCGGGCTGGCCGCAGCCAAATATCAACTTTATTGAAACGACGTTACCATACCAGCAGATGCAAGATGCCGCCACTGGGCCTTTCAAGGTCCGTTACAACACGGAATTTTGCGAATGGCCCAAGGGCTCGCCAACTACCGAGCCTTGTATTAGACACGATTCCGGGGTCCCGGCGGCGGATAGCACCCCGGCCGAAGGAGGTGGTGGCGACTACTTATCTAACGAGTCCATGTATAGAGCCAACCGACTGCGCGTCGGTCTTGAGTTGGCCAACGTCCGCGGCGGCCACCTTCACGTTCCCGTCCTTGGCTTTCCTGACGGGAACGCGCCCTCTGACCAAAAGTTTGAGAAAAAGCGGCTAGACATCATCAGCCAGGCCTTGCAACTTGTCGAAGCTGTAGGTAAACCATAGTTATGTGGGCAGCTTCTACTCGAGTGCCGACTGCTATTGTTCACTTGGGCGAGCTCTGGATCTCTCGTCTCCTGTTTGTTTTCTGTGGTGGGATGCTGTGGTGGGATGCAAGGATAGGCTACAGGATATTTGTAAATTTGAATCAAAGTGTTACTGCTATCCTTTACCAGGCAGATGGTGTACTTGATATCGTTTTCGTCGGCTGCTCCTTTCATGCCGTGACTAAATCATGCATTTTTCAAGGCACTACATGAAGAGAGTTCCATGAGTGCTACAGGTTCAGCGCCAAGTAACAGATCCGGGCCCAATACTGCTTTCTATTCCTATAGAACTGTGGTGGAGTTATTTGTACACGCATCAAGTACATATAATGACTTGTTTACACTGAAGTCTGGCGTTATTTATCAGCCCCTTTTCCAGCCAACTATAGGATAGCATGATGTATTACAATCCACGTAAATCTTGGCGGTCATGATTGACAATGCCTGCAGGAAGAAGAAAACGCGAAGGCAGACTCTAACGTCCCTTAGTCTCAAGGTTAGGTACACCACCATGTTAAGCCGTGGTTGATGGCATGAATATACTCATGAGGCCTTTCTACGAGAGTCAACTTGACCCTTTTCAAATTCAAGGGGGGCCTTGGTAGGATCTCTTAAAGAGTGTTTGAAGGCGGTGGACCTGGTGGGGAGGGGTGCTGTAAAGCCCAGGGTGGTAGGGTGATGGTGAGTGAGGCCATTTGAGGACTTACCTACCGCGTATGAGGAATTAGAAAGGGAGAATGTCACTGGGAAAATTGTGCTCAAGATTGCAAAGGACGAGCGAGGAGAGTTCGCAGTGAGTCTTCGCAATGCCAGTGGATTCACCCAATATCGCGTTCACCAAGAGCAAGTGCGAGTGTTTTAAACGTGGTTTGAAGATGATTTATATTGAATGGAATAAAACAGGCTGAAAATGAAGCCGCTATGTTGCTGCTTGCCTTCACCCCCCGTCGTTTATATGTAGCTTGTTGAAGTCAGGACTCTGTGTCTGAACTGTACAAAGGTATATTATACTAGAAAAATCCAATTGCCTCCATTCTTCCAGCTTTTAGAAGCGAATGGGAGTGGTGGAATTACTTCCCTCGCCGTTGTTGATCAAGACGTTGGTAATGCCGCCTTTAACACCCTGGATCTCGACGCCCTGTCCCTTGATGAAATCGCAGAGGCCCTGGATCGATTTGCCCTTGCCCAGGAAGTAGGCTCCGATGCCGGCAACATGGGGCGAAGCCATGGACGTACCGGAGATGGTGTTTTCCCCGCCGTTAATCCACGTCGACTTGATCTCGGAGCCCGGGGCAATGACGTCAACGACGGAGCCAATGTTAGAGTACGTGGCGAGCTTATCATCCTTGGTAGTGGCACCAACAGTGCAGGCCGACGACTCCGAGGCAGGCGAGTAGCCACTGGCGTCCTTTCCGTCGTTACCGGCAGCGACAGCAAGGAAGAGGCCGGCCTCAGTGATTTTTCGAGCGGCGTCGTTGACGGCTTCAGACTTCGTGCCACCGAGGGACATGTTGACAACGACACCCTTGGGACACGTCTTGGTCTTGGCATTTTGGGTAACGTATTCCATACCAGCAAGGACAAAGGAGCTATGGTTTGTTAGTACGGTCATGTATAGGCAGTGGGGTGAAGAGCTTACTTGGAGCCGCTGCCCTGGGCGTCAAGCACCTTTACTCCGAAGAGCTTCGTCTTCTTAGCCACGCCATACGTCTTGGAGCCAATGGTTCCAGCGACGTGAGTACCGTGACCGTTGCCGTCGGTGTCCTGACCGTCGTTGGCGAAGTTCTTGAGGAACTCGGCGCGGCCCTCAAACTCCTATCCCAGCTTGTTAGCATATTCCTCCTCAACTGACGAATGTGATGTGCATACAGGGTGGCCTGCCTCGATACCAGTGTCGATGATGAAGGCGCAAGTACCCTCGCCAGCGCTATCATCGTAGGTATACGTCGTGGTGCCAGGCGTCTTGCTTGAGAGCCGAGCCAATCCCCAGTCGGCATTTGGCTGCGTGGCATACATGGTCATGATGGCATCCTGTTCAATAAAGTCGACCTATCCAAGCTATTGTCAGCACATTGAATGTATCAGCACGACAGGTCTCTTCCGCAAGACTCACATTGGGGTCGTCGGTGAGCTTCTGGAGTTCCTCAGGGGTAAGGGTGGCAACGAATCCGTTCCAGTCATTGTATGTGTAGTCGGCTTCGGCGGCAATGGAAGAGATGGCAGAAGATACGGCGGAAACTTCAGCCTTGGCCTTCATCTTGATGATGTACTTGCCCTCGATGAGCTCAGCACCGCGGGGAACAAGGACTGGAGCCGGGAAGGAGCGCTTAGCCGGGGCGGCCATGGCCAAGGGGAGGATGGCGAGCAGAGTTGAGCCCTTCATGATGACTGTTGGTAATGGAGATGCTTCGTAGTTTCCTGTTGCGAAAAGGGGGGAGGGGGAAAAGAAAAGTGACACAAAAAACAGGGGAAGATGGGTTTGTCAACGAGTCTGCCGGAGATGCTCGAACCACTGGGTGAAGAGAGATGTCGGGGATATAGGAAAGTGAAGAGGGAATGAAGCTGCGGGTTGGTTTTCTACTTGTTCCTCCTTTGCCATCAACGGGAGGCATCTCAAGCTATTTATCTTTTCGAGCTCGGTTCGCAAGTACACAGGTTCCAGCATGTTGCTTCCCGCTCCATGAGCCAGCCATGACAACGCTGGCAGCCAGGGCAAGGCTCCGAGGCATAGTACATGCTGATTCCGGTATTGGCGCATCCCGTGGTCATCAGTAATCTCTCATGGCTTGGTTCTTCGAGTTTCATCGTCCACAGGGTCCCAGAAGTCGACGGCCGCATCACCATGGACAGGGTCACTCGCGGACGTCTCGTGTACCTGGACACGCGCTGCGGAAGGGGGGCGGCGAGAACCCAATCATGCTTTGATGCCGCGCGAGTGGCTGTATGGAGCCATACTGACAGCATCAGATGGTGTAGGACAAGAGGCTACAGGCCATGCTACAGGCGGCAATCCTTACTCGTTTCGTATCTGCTTCACCGAGAGGCTGCCTATAATGGCAACAGACGGGCGCTGTTGCTGAAGAAGCGAGGGTCAAATCACGGCCAGGGACTGCAACCCATCTCATGCGAGCGGCGATGATCAAGCTTCATGTCCTCCTTGAAAGAGGCGTATAAGCGCAGATCTGCTTTCCGCGGGCGTCTACCGGCAAGCGCACCAGACTCCACGACACCCCCGGGCACGACACCAGACTCTTTCGGGATTTTTGTTGTATTTCTACGGGGTGCCTAGCAGTGGTGATCTCTCTTTGCTCTGTTATCTATCCTGTCACCTACCTATTGCAGCCTAGACCGGGGAACTTCTGGGGAACAATTATCCACAATGCCGTTCTCAAGGCGAAACATGGCCCAGTTGGTTTCCCCGATGCGTTATGTAACCTCCATGTACCTGGCTGCCTGACTGATATTTTTGGCATGAAGAAAAAGGTTCCGACGATGGGCCTCAAAACGTCGACACGAGGGCGTAAAGTTAAGGACAAATGTAAGCTTCTGCAAGTCGGCGCCACACACACACATGCTTGACACATGTACACACCCCGCCCTGGCCTCAATGATGCCTTGTATTGTGAAGGACACAAGATTGAATTATTATACATACATGCGCAAGCAAGAGTAGCTAACCGGCGGCCAGGGGGCTGGATGGGCCTGCGAGTGATGGGCTGCAGCGTTTGGCGCCACTGCGACTGCGACGAGTCGTCGGCTGTGGTGGATTGAGATGATTCTCAGGAGAGCTGCCAACTTGACATGCGGTGCAGGCTTCCATGTTCAATGTTGTCTTGTGCGACGCCGTTTACATACAGTATACATACGCGTGTCTGCCCAGTGCCCACCATCCCGGCCCGTCCAGATGGTGCGACGATGGGCAAACCATGGGCCCAATTCCGCATTTTACGCGCTTCTGAGTTCATGGTACATGTGGTAGTTCATTTGCTCTTCAACAATAACTTACCACATTGTTGGAGTACGCCCGGATAATAAGACACGGTGCGCGCCACGTTGGGTCGCTTTCCTGGCCACATGTCGGTAGACGCGACCCGGCGGCGGATACTCGACGGCCACATGAGCGTTCAATGTTGCGGCGGCCTGGTTCAAGGCGCATCAATTCATCGGTTCTTGGCCTGCCACGCCCCATCGCGGCTCGCCAGGCTCAGGGCATGGACCAGCAAGCAGGCCACGGAGGTTTCGCCATAAACGATGCGAGTTTGGTCCGGATCGGCATCCCGGCATCCCCCCTCTCCCCCCCGATGTCTGGAGCTTCAGCTCATGGGGCCAGTCACCCAGTCTCGTCTGTACCGCCTCTTGGTAGTTTCGGTTATGGATCCGGAAGCCAAGGATGGACGATTGGCACACCTTGGCATGGGATCGCTGTTTCGATCCGACTTGGCGACGATGCGTGACTGGTTGGCAGATCTGCGACGCCTTTCAGTCCTTCCATCTTCAGCCACCTGCGACAAGACTCGCCGTAAGCCAAGTCAAGGGTGCCCCCAGTGGCTGCTCGCTTGGAAGCGTGACGATTCTACGCGTGGCATCAATGAGCGATATCAAAGTCCATCTAGCTACACCTTGCCTGTCCAACAGCACTTCAAGACTCTATACATGTTGGCTGTGGTGTATCTAAAGCGTGCGTATCGTCGGCAGCGCAAACATTCGTGTCTTTATCTCTTTAGATGCGGAATGGCTCGTGGAGACTCGCTTACCTAAGAAATTTGTATGGCAGAGGAGTCTCCTTGAGCCATTCCGCATCTAAAGAGATAAAGCGGGACAGGTGCGTTTCGGCTCCGTGGATCGAGATCTGCGTCTTGCACCAATGCGCGTAATTCTTGCTTCTCTCTGCCTTCCCTTGTCTGTTTTCCCTGCATTCCGCTTGCACTGGGAAACTGCCTCTCGTATCGTCAACCTTGTGTAAACAAGCTTCATTGGTTCCGGCCAGGGGTGACAGCACATCCGTCTCATCACCACAGCATCGCCCAGCACACCGGATGGTTTGTAAGAGAATAGACAGGGGACATGGGCGTTTGCCAGATCAGACCAGCGCCGACGGGGTCATCCCGGATGCTGATGTCGGCTTTGGGCCCCAAATTTCATGCATTCCGACACTGCATCTCTCTTGCGTCCCCAAGAAACAGGTTCGTCCCCGGCTTAATAAAACCTCATCGAGTTGCCTCTTCGATATGGAGATCTACAGTATCCAAAACAGGTTCCCCAGTTTTCGTGCCTTGACGGCCACTGACAACGGTGCTTTTGATGTATTTTTGCATCAACGACCCAATCAACAGCACATACTGTACATACGTTTTCCCCCTCAGCGGCAGCTACTACTGGTTCCATTTTTGGCATCTCAATCCATGTCTCGTGTCCATCTCTGAGCCACCGACAAGCCTCTTGGCCATGTTGACGAGAACAGACAATCACCGCTGCACGCTACTGCCCGCCCAAGTTTGCTCAGGATCAACATTGCATACGACTCGTCCTGCAAATCACAACAAAACGGTGAATGCAACTCTGTCTGCCTGCTGAATGTGACTCATGTCGACCATCTTATAGCCTTCTGGATATCGCTCCTTCCCAATCTACGGCGCACTTTCGTTTTCTACCTCTTACATCCACATTTTGTCAAACCTCCGACGGACATTGACCTTTTGCGCGTGGCGTTAGTGTCAACAATGCACGGTTTTTTTGTTTTGTTTTTTTTGGCAGCATCTGGCGAGTCAAGAAAGCGGGGGCTTCGATCTATACAACCTAGCACGTGGTTGCCATTCCGAGAGGATGCCCCGGGTGCGTTGAGGAACGACGGAGTGTTCAAGTCACCTTGACCATGGTCTCTCATGTGGCTCAGCAATATGACCAAGTAATTTTCCGTAAGTTTTGAGGAATAGCCGCGTTTTCTTCCCTTTCTCTTGCCAGCGGCTCACCACCTCCTGCATTTTGCTTTCCACGTGCCAATTCTCTATATGCAAGTTTGTTGTTCCCTACTATGCGTACCTTGTCACTAGCGCCGTGTCCATTGATTCCAGACCCCATTGTTTCAGATACTCTGATGACCAAGACATTCATCATCTGGTAATGCGCCATTCCAAATCAGCCTGTAGCTGTTGAGAGCTGGTTTTCGGTGCTCTTCTCCACCGTGTTTCAGCCCCGGCCCTTTTTGCCGGCATTCTCGCGGGATGCCATATGTTTATTATCCGATACAGAAGCTCTGTTCGTTCATGCCGTGTAATCCAGAGCCTGGAGCAACGTGCCTGATCCGCAACTGAAACTTGACACTGACCATACATACTTATAGATCAAGCATCCAATGTCCCCATCAACAACGTGGCATAAACATCTCAGCCTTTGTAACCAAGACAAGTAGTAAATAGACTCCACCGGCCATGCTTTGATGCATCCATAAATGTCTCACGGCTTGCGAATGGCCGTGGGGCAGCGTCGCCCCCGAGACAAGTGAAGCTCTCGGCCTCTTCGTAAACAAAGACACCTTGACGCCCTACGCAATGCGGAAAGGGAAAATTGGAAGCATTGGCGCGGCCAGCGACGCACATGGTTAAAGTAGTCTCTACAAAATTCTAGACTGAATTGTCACGCATCCAGCGGAGCCGCGACAACGGTGCTGCTGCTTTGATTGCCAGCAGTCATCCCTGCGTCGATGAAATATGCAGAGGTGGTGTTGGGTCCTTTGCTCTCTAACTGCCATAGTCACACGTCATGTCTCAGTATCAATATGCATTATCAATCTCGTGCGGGCGATCTCACACTCCTCCCAGAATAAAATTTCAGAGACGTCTATCCCGCAGTAGATTATACTTGTTAGTAGCGTCTGGCAGACATGAAGAGTACTAAGCCATATGTAATAATATCATTCATATCCGACAATCGTTTTGCATCGCTAGGGTATCTACTAAACTCATCTACCTTGCTCGTACATAGTTGTCATGGTTTCGGCCTACCCTAAACTGAACCCTTGACGCGGATCGCGTCCGCGAAGGCTGAAGCACCTAGGAGGTCGAGGCAAAATTTAGAGTTGTATATAGAATTTATCTGTTCGCTCTAGGCATTCTCCCTTTTGCCTTTTTCATGACCAATGGCTGCATGCAGATGGTGTGGCGGCAATGGGTTTGTAAAGGTCTGGTGCCTTGCGCCACCAGCAGATGAGGAACGAGGTCGAGACCGCACGCCGCATCCGTCAGCTTCTTTATCAGACATTATCAATCGCGCCTCCCGCTCCAATGGGCCAGTCTGTGCTTGCCTCTTTCAACCCGTCAACGACAGAAAAAAATCACCAATGATGACAAAGACACAGCGCGTCCTTACTTCAGCCTGCAGCTTAAATCCAGGATGCCGGCAGACCAGACCATTTCTCCCCACGCGACGAGCTTTGACTCTTTTTGACCGTACGATGCATGTCTCGATAAGGTTTGCCAGCCCAGGGACTGGCCGCCCTATTCCCCAACCAGGCCAAGCCTCGAGATTAGCTCTATTAGCTTAAAAGCTTGAGGCGCTTTGGCTTGTCGCCCCCTCAAATGCTCCGATTCACCAGCGAGGCGAGCAGATTTTTTTTTTTAAAGAAATGGCACTCCGCCCGCCACTGTTTCGCTGATTTCGCTTCGTACGTTTACACCACCGAGGCGCCAGAGCCATCCCGACGCGACTATGAATTGTGACGAGCTCCAAGAGGGTGCCAAGCCCCAGCGATACATCATCAAGCGACCAAAGGCGCTTCAATGGTTCTACAACGGCCGGCTGTACAAGGAGAGCGATGAGGAGAGACAGGCAGGGCGGTTTGAACTGTTTCTTGATTTGTTGTGTACGCCCCTTCTTCCCATTATGTCAACATGCTGCTGCTCCTCTTCAAGTCCATCCTGCTAACGCCAGCCAACTCGGTCAGACGTCGCCATCGTCGCCAATTTTAGCGACGACCTCGCCGAATTCCCCAATGGCGCCCATCTCGCCAAGTACATTCTCATCTTCGCCCCGGCATGGCACATTTGGGCCGATCTGCGAGAGATTATGAATTCATACTATACCGACGACTTGCTGCAGCGACTGGTTATTCTCTGGGTCATGGCGCTCTTGGTCCTGTACGCCAACAACGCGCGGGAGGCAAACACGGACATTGACGCCATGCGAACAACCGCCGGCGCCTACCTGGTCGCTCGCTTTTCCACCATGTCTGTATTCCTCATTAGCTCCTTCGCCAGCTACCAGCATCGCACTCAGGCCCGCATCCTCGCGGGCTTCATGTTCATTGGCCTATTCATCACCATACCGCTCTTCTTCGAATCCGTGAGCATCCGCGGCAAGGCGGCAGTCGTGGCCGTCATGATCGTCTACCAGGAAGTGACGTGGTCCATCACGCTCAGCCCCTGGATCAAGCATCGCCTCAGGCTCAAATACAGCACGGCCGTGGACATTGCCCACGAAATTGACCGCATGGCCGCCTTCTTCATCATCATCCTCGGCGAGTTCATGTACAGCGTCATTGTCGGCGATCCGGCCGGCATCGGCCTGACGGCAGGCTACGCCAAAGCCGTGTGCACCCTCATCATCGCCTTTTGCATCAACTGGATCTATGTCAGCGGCGACGGGAGTATACAGGCCACGCACCCAATCCGCCGGTCTGCTTGGACGGCGTTTGGCTTCTTTCTGCTGCACCTGCCGCTGTCGGCCTCGTTTCTCATCGGCGGGCACATTTGCGCAATCAGCACGAGATTGCACGAATTCGAACAAGGCCAGCGCTGGCTGCTCGGCGGCGGGCTAGGCGTGGGCATGCTCTGTCTTTGGATCTACGCGCAGCTGTATCGTACTGATGGAGAGGACCGTCTGGTCCTGCCCAAGCAGCTACGTGTGGGCATGCGCTTGGTCGTAGCTGTGATTCTGGCTGTTCTTCCGGAGACGCACGACCACTTGACGACCACGGCGTTTATGGCGGTTGTCATGTCGTTATTTGCGTTCTTGATCCTGTGGGAGACCATTGGCGGGTTGATGAAGGGTGCTCGGTTCTTTGAGCCGTGGACAGACAGGCATGCACCGGCGGAGGGAGACTCCAGCGAGGCACTTACCTAATTCACTTCACGCGCATTGCATCAATACAAGATGACTACCTGTTGTTTTCCTGTTGTTGTTTTCGTTCCCCCCTCCCCTGTATGACAGATAATATCCCGGGCCGGAGTCTGACTCCTCACGTCAGCTGCGCAGCACGGACGCGAATGCGAAAGCGAAGCTTTGTCGACCAACGGAACACCCCGGAAGGCCACGCGTATAAAAAGTCCGGATGAGCCGTCAAGTCGTCCCTCAATGTCAATTCATACCCAAGATGCCAATATTCAAGTACTTTGCCGACCAAGTTCCTTCTTGAACCAACTACGCGCTTGATTTCAGCTCGCAATGCAGGCCCTAAGAAAGGTCACGCGCGCCGTGTCTCCCAAAACCGCCCTCACAGCAACAGCAGCCCTCGTCGCTCTGTCAGGCACAGCATACAGCATAACGATATACAGGCGCCTCAGTATCACCAGCCACTCGCTCATCAAAACGACAGAGTCCGTATCGGAGTCGTTGCGCAAATCAGCCACTATCCGCAGTCTTGTCAACCCCCGCGGCCACACGGCGGAGGAGGACTCACGCTCCATAGAACTTGCCGTGCCGGACGGTGTGAAGCTCCCGTCAGAGGAGCTTCTCTTGTCGCAGTTCCTGAGGGGGTTTTTCGGCGGGCCCGTGTTTCTGCTTGAGAGGATCGGGCTGCAGCTTCTGAAGAAGCAGCTTGTTGTTTTCGATGGCATGTTGCCTGTTGGTGCGAGGGAGTTTGACGCCGCACTAACTCTTGCTAGGTCTCGCGCCGAGCTCTGCGCCAGAGCATGTGAACTCCATGTCTGAGCTTCCTGCGTCCCTGCCGTCGTTGCATTCCGTCTTGTGGGGTATTCTCCAGGTCACGGATCTGCGGGTCGGAGAGGACGGCGAGGGCAGCTCGATTGATTTCGTCTATGGCTCGGATAGGGGCGAGTTTGCGGGGTGTCATCGCTTCACGGTGCGCAAGGAGACCGGAGCTCAGGGGGAGAGTGTGTTTGTGAGCATGGAGTGTGTTACGTGTAATCCTAAAGTGGACAAGCCTGTGTCGGGGCAGCTTTTGTCCTGGTTTCACCACCTTTACGCAATGATGTTGTTCAGAGATGGGGTTGCCGAAGTCAAGGGTTTGTTGAGTTGATGGTAACCGGATCGCCTTTGCACAAGATTGCTTGTGCCCGTAGGAATGCTGGGTGGCGGGACAAAGTTTCTGGGTTGCTGGCATGATATTTCTCCTCTACAATCACTTGCTATATACATTTACAACGCTACTTCCAAAGCCTGGACGTTGCCTGCATTCACGAGTACCTTGGCCTCTCGCCCATCTCCACTCACGGTGAGTGCCAACTTCTCTCTTGGCCACAACGTGACGTAGTTGTCCGACCAGATGGCGGGGTTGACGTCCTCGCCGGCCTTGTCAACAAGGTTCAGGCGGATAAAGAATGCAGGAACGTCAGACTTGTTCTCGAGGACGATGGAGTGAGCACCGTCATTCCTGGACGCCGTGACGGAAAGTTCGGCCGTCTCCATCCCACTCAGGGCGCTGTAGTCGGAGAACTTGGTCACGGGGGTGTGGTACCACGTTGCGTTGGGCCAGTCGAGCACATCTACAGATTTTGTGAGCCAGTATACATTTCGGCTGAGAGCTTGGCCCTGTTCGTCGGACAAAACAAGACGCAGCAGGCCAACGTCCGTCATATTGTTTAGGCCGGATATTTTGGCGACCTTGCTGGACTTGTTGGGGACGCTGTCGACAGTGACGGAATCCTTGGAGATTGACTTTCCATCCAGTCCAATCAGTTCAGTAGCAATGTTGCGCGTTCCCTTTTTGTCGAGGCTGTGGTTGATGATCCACGCCTCCTCGCGGACATAGTCGTATGCAACGTGTTCCAGTCGAGAACCAACCTTGGTGCCAAAGTACGAGCCGGCTGGGTGCAGGTAGTGGTCGAACTGGTTCCAATGCAAGCTGGGCCAGGCATTGTTCAGCATCCAGTAGATGGTGCCCGTGGCCGGGCGGACCTGGCTCCATCGAGCAGAGTAGCCCTCGTGCTGTGCGCGAATAGCCTCGTAGTCCATGAGCTGGGCTTTGAATATGTAGTCTTCCAAAGATGTGGGGGCGCCATAACGCTTAAACAAACCTTGGTTGTAGATCTTGCGGTTGTAGAATGTCGACGTATTCGTTGACATGTGAAAGAAGTTGGCATCGGGCTTCTTCCAGAGGTCCTCCATCTCGCTCTGGGTCAGAAACTTCCTGAGGCTGCTGACTTCGGGGGTTCCTACCCCGGCGCCAAGCTCAGAGCCAAATCCAAATGCGGCCCCGAGACGGTCCTCAGATGACTCCGTGTCGTACCAGTAGTTGGGTGGCACCCAGTCGTAGGGTCCGCTCATTTTCATTCCCGAGGGACCAAGAAGAGCTGGGTAGCCGCGCTTGGATGCGGATGCAATGAAAGGCGTCTGCCAGTAAGCATCCTTGAGGGCATCAACGTAAATCTTGGTGGCGCGGTCATTGGGCCAGAAGTCACTGCCAATCAAGAATCCAAGTACACTGGGGTGCGGCTGCATCATGGCAGCTTCGTGTCGCATGGTAGCATTTGCAGTCTCGTAGTCGTTGTCGGTCCAAGGAACGTTGGGGTTGATGTCCTGGTTGTAACTCCAGGCCTCCCACTTGGAACAGCAGACAAACCCGGCAATAATCATCATGCCAGCTTCATCGGCCATTCGGTACAGCTCTGGGTGTTCCATCATGCCTTCTAGACGAATAGTATTGAGACCCATGTCGTGCGAGTATTTCATGATGTTGGCCCATCGCGTGGCGTCCCAGCGGAAGAACATGTCTGGGCTATATCCAGCACCAAGAACCTGGAACGGATAGCCGTTGACCGTGAACATGGTGTCGTTGTGGCTGTTGAGTGCTGATGTAACGGTTCGAATGCCAAATGTTTCCTCTGCAACGTCGGACAGCTCGTTGGCAACATGCAATGCAAGCCGGGCCTTGTACAAGGGCTGGCCACCCCAGAACTTGGGCCACCATATCTTCGGCTTCTTGACATGAAGAGAAATCTCGACGAGCTTGGTCTCCTTGGGTCCCAGCATAAGAGATGTCTTCTGAGACCCGACTTTGCAACCAGACGATTCGGCAATAACGGAAGAGGCATCCACTTGAAGCTCGTGGTCCTCGAGATTCTGTACTTTTGCACGGACAGTCACCTTGGCAGGGTTGGACTCGACTGGACTCTCGATATCGATGGACACGCTCATGGGTCCCAGTGCCACAGGCCCAGTCTGCTTCACGGTGATTTCTCTCCAGATACCGCTGCCATTGTCAGGCGCACGGGGGCTCCAGTCAACAAAAGTATAAATGAGGTCGAGATTGAAGTCTGAGGGGTACACATTGACAGCAAGGGCATTCTCGTTGCCTGCATGGCCAGTGATATCGTAGGTGTGGCCACCAAAAGAGCCCGCCTGTTCCTCTTTATCTGCAATTTTCTCTCCATTGAGGAAGATGTCGGCCCGCGAGGTGATGCCGTTGGTCTGGAGGAAATAATGCTGCCCTTGATTGGGAGTGAGCGAAAACTCGTTTCTGTAGACCCAGGGGACGCGGAATTGGCCCCAATTGATCTTGTAAAGGTTATCCGAGAACCATAACTCATCATCTTTATACGCGCCTGACTCAATCATACCCCCCAAAATAGTGCAACGGGAATCATTGACATGGTTCCATGACGAAGTGTCGACACCAGGCTTAGACAGCGAGGCAAGGTCTTTGCTCACAGAGGAGGATGATTGGAAGTCCCAGGCAGGAATTATGCCGACCTGTCCGGCCTTGGAGGTCAACGGATTGGTAGCCGAAGTGAGAGCATTGGCGCTAGCTAGCAGTAGGGCCGCAGCGCTATGAAGTGCCATGTTTCGGACGTGTCAAATGAGTTGATGACGGTGAGAGTTCACCAGTCTTGATCTTGTGCAAGGCCAAGGCACCATAAGTATTCCGACCGAGAGAGCTATGTACAACGTTACCCTGCCCGGCCGCCAAGGCATGTGGCCCATGGCCAATGACCTAGCCAAGGGCGTTGGCTCGTCTCTACGGGTCGCACTGCGCTGGCATGGTGTTGAGTTGAGCTGGTTCCCACGTCAGATCAACGCCGAAGAGGGCAGTCAAAAGCTGAGACGATGGGGTTCGATGGGGTTCGATGGGGGTCAGGGACCGGCGCAGGCTACTTGGCCACTGGTGTAGCGTTGGCAACGTGCATGAGCATAAGCATCGAATCAATCAATGATATGATGCACGCGCGATCGCATCAATGGGTCTTATTGCATAAAGATGGTACGCTGAAGACAATCCATATTCTGCATCTGGACAAGATGGAACCAGTCGAGGCCGACATTGAGATGGCCGCTCGAGCTCCGCCTCGGAAAGTCCAATTGTTCGCTCCTTCCACCCTGATGCCTGGCTGCTTGACGGGAGCCCCTCTCTCTCCTCTCCACCCCCATGTGCCTCCACTTCCTTCACCATACAGAGCACGCGAGTGCATTACGCTTTTGCCTTTTTGCAACACAGGTTATTTTGATGGGCGGAGAAATTCATGCCGGCGCCATCCTTCATCAGGGCAGCCAGCTGTGCAATCTACGGCTCCCACAATCCATTATTGGCAAGAAACTTGAGATGTCTAGCTGCCCTGTTGTCACCTTCAGCCACGCCTCTGTCGACGACCAGATTTGCCGAACCGGACTTGACTGGCGCCTCACCAAATAACCAAGGGCCCTGGAGGAACGCCTGCACCAAAGGTTGCGTGCAGTTTGCGCCACGAGACTCGCCCAATCCCAATCAACCTACCAAAGGAGCTTGGGAATATCCATTCTTCTCTAGGCCCACCTTGCTCCAATTCTTCCGAGGCTTGTAGCCTGCAGCTTACGAGCTACGCGACTCCATATTGGACTCTGTCAATCATTTCCGGCCGCTGCATAATGTCCGCTATTGATCTGGCTGTCGAGTAACCTGCCAGTACCATGGCTGACGTCAACTCCAACGTAGCATCGCCTGCGAAGCCTCGCAAGCGGAGAATCCCGGTAAGCCGGACCGGACTGGCTCTATAATGGTTTCTCGTTGGGGTATTAAACTTGCGTCTTGGCTAATTGTTGTTTTGCGCTCTTGCTGTAGACTTCCTGTGGTGCCTGCCGTCAATCCAAGGTATGCAATGCAAGCATTGGTCGCTGCTCAACCTAGTTGGCTAATGTGATGATAGGCAAAATGCGATGGACGAAGACCTTGTTCAAGGTAGGAATATACTGCCACCACCAAGTCATGAGCCTGAAGACTGACCTGGCATGTTGGAAGATGCCGCTCCTTGCGTAAGGTGTGCAAATTCGAGGAAAGGCCAAAAGAGAGCCATGAGCTGTATGTCTGTTGGAAACCCAGAGTTAGGCTCATTTGAAGCTGACCTTGCAACAGTAGAATTGACGAACTGCAAAAACAAGTCGAGGACCTACAAACAAAGATACGCCAGCAGGAAGAGGCAATTACAAGCGTAGAGGCTCGGTCTGGCCATGCCATATCCACATCGTTCGCGTCACTGGATCGCCACCCGTTTGGCACATATGAGGCGGTTGAACCCATTGTTGCCGCATCGCCAGAGTCTTCTCGAGCGGGAGCATCACTCAAATCTGGAAACAGGTCAAGTATTGAACAAGTATCGCCACTACGGGCCGAAAGATCAACGGTTCCATTTCGCATCCATCTGGTAGAAACACCGGATGTTGTTGTTGCTGGTCTGACCACTCTTGATCAAGCTTGCTCGTACTTCCTCACCTTCTTTCAAGGCTGTGACAGATATGTCCCGGTCTTTGACCCCCAGTATGATTCTATGGAGAGTGTTCGGTCCAGAAGCAGCATCTTGTTCAGTGCAATATGTACGGTTGGCTGCCGTGCGCTGACTGGGACTGATTCCCAACAGTGGCGATTGCTGAACTTTCATCTCAGGAGAACAGTCAATGCAGCCATTTCAGTCCCTGCAATGCTTTCCCTGGAGACCATACAGGCACTATTGGTCAGGGCATGCTACACTTCAGAAAGATCCCTTCTGGTTGCCGCAGCGACGCGAATGGCAGTAGACCTTGGGTTGCCGAATGCGTATGACAGTCTCATGTCCAGAGTGTTGTCAGCCTCCTGGGGTCCTGCTGGCGACGCAAGTGTCCAGGATGAATCAATACTCATGCGGAAAACGAGGACCTGGCTGCACATTCTGAATATGAGTCACATCCTTCACGTTGATGCTGGAGACTTTCTAGCACTGGGTTTCAACGGCGATGCTCGACGAAGTAGAGTGCTACTCAAAAAGCCTCTGATACGAAAACAAGACATGTGCCTCTGGCCACAAGTTGAACTGAATGCTTTGAGAACGCAAATGTATTCCCGACTATGCAATCGCATTTACACAGACGCAGAAATCATGGATATAGTGTCTGATGCGATGCTAGACATCAACGTATGGTACGACGATTGGAACAGAATCTTTGACCCCAAAGATCCACACTCTCCGTGGTTGCTCCTCAACATGCAAGTACAACGCTGCTGGGGGGTCACCATGGCATTGTGTAGGGCAATTCGTACAACTGGTGTTGAAAATGTCGATGTAATGTCCCCAACTCAGAAACAAATGTTGGCCATGGCGCAAGAGGCCTTGTGGCAGCACTTGGGTATCATTACGCAGGAGCCCCGTCTCTACCTCCAAAATTTACGCTTTGCAATGGATTTTGTGTGGGCAAAGTGCGTGTTTTGCTATCTACTCCTGTTGAAGCTGACCATGCTACTGCCAAACGAAGCAAGCCGATCCGGAAATGACCTCATTGATCGCGGACATATTCTTCTCAGTGAATTGGGCGAAGCAGGCGGCGGCCTATTGAATGGTCATCGCAGCAACACTGGCAAGGTGTATCTACAATTGTTGGAGACTGGCATCGACAAGTTTAGCTCCGCAATCGGCAATGGGAGGCGGAACCACACCAACTCTATCCGCAACCCAGCCCCAAACAATGGCTCAATTCTGCAGATCGAGGAGGGACAAGACTCGTTTGTCCCTGAGCAATTTGTTTTCGATTGGGATTTCCCTGGCCTTACGCTATTCTCGTCATCCGTGACAGATACGGGCTGGTTGGATGATATTCTTTTGGAGGCACTGAATGGGACTGACGAGTTCATGGGCTTCGGTTGGTTAACGACGGACACCACAAACTGACCTATTAGACTGCAACAACCGATCATGCAAATATCACTTCAAGCGATGTCTATTAGCTAAATTGCTCTGGCAGAGATGGGTCGTTTGCCAGCCACTATGTATGATTGGAAAGACAAATTGAGTTTACTGCCGACGGAGCTCGAAATGCCGGCGACCTTGCTCATCGGGCTTGAGAGCACGAACTTCCATACCATCCTCGGAAACAACGGTTCTCAAGTCTCCAGCAGGCAGAATCGCGACAAGTGTCTTCCAAGGGGCGACGAAACCTGATTTCTCTTCCCGGGTGAAATTGATACGCACTTGAGATTCCGTAGCGTTGTACGAAATAGTATACTTGGAAATCTTGACCTTGGAAGCAGTCGACACTCCATCATCTTCGTACCAATCGCACACATACCAATCTTTAGCACTTTTCCCTGGCGGAGGAAAAATCTCGACGGCGCGGTAGTCATCTAGGGGTAAATCGGCCACATTTTCCTTCTCTCCAGGAGAAAGGACTTGCACGTCATGCCCAATTGGTATGACGGTCCCGACTTTAGCAAGGACTGGGATGCCAGCCCCATGCCATTCCGCATCGACCGTGATCCACCGGCCAGACTGAAAGTGTTGGTATGGCGCATTGAGATTGAGGAATCCTTCATCAGATTCAGATTGTTTCGGCAGATATACTCTGGCGCTGCTTACGCCTGGTTCGTAAACACCTCCAATAAGGATTGAATCACCAAGCCAGTATTGACACTCGCCATCCATGATCTCGGGAGTCCAAACTTGGGGATCAGACTCATATCCCCAACCTGTCCACCTTTGTGGTGGTATGGCCGTTTGGTGACTCACCAGCATAAGCGAGTACAAATAAGGTATCATTGCATACCGGCGTTTGATCGCTTTTCTGACCAGGTGTGTAATTGATGGATGCATCCATGGTTCGATGACATCGCCAACATTATTGTCATCTCCAGTCTTGAAGCAGTTGATGGCAAACCGAGGGGAATGGATACCAAGCTGTACCCATCGAAGCAGCAGCTCGGGAGATGGTTGCGGCCCTTCGAATCCACCAATATCATGGCCGTAGCACTGCATCAGACACATGCCGGCTGTGAGTGACAATGCATTTGCGCCCTTCATGCCTGACCAACTAGTGATATTATCACCACTCCAGGAGCTACATGCATATCTCATTGTACCGGCCGTGGCACTTCGAGTCAGGACAAATGGTCGGTTATCTGGATCAGCCTCGAGCAGTGCATCGTGCGAAGCTTTGCCATGGAGCTCTGTATGCAGACTGCGTCCCCAAAGACCGACGTCTCGACGCCCCCTGAGACCCTCTGGCACTTCTAAAGAGGGCTGGTCTAGAGCGCATTGCCAGCCATCGTCGGTAATTGTGTACTCATTGTTATCGTTCCAAATACAGTCAATGCCTTCCTCTCGAAGTTTTTTGACTCCGTTGAACCACCAACTAAATCCGGCCGAGGAGGTGAAATCGATGTGACCGCCCTCGTCACTCTCACCACCACCAGCGCTCCAAAGCCGGGTGACGGCTGTGGTCTTGGTGTGAGGGTCTGTGAACAAAGCCCCTGAATCCTTCAGTTTCTGGTATTCCGGATGACTTGCCAAAACGTAGGGTTTCACGTTCGCAATTAATCGCATACCAAGCTTGTGATATTCCTTGATCCATCCTTGGGGGTCGGGGAAGCGATGCCGGTTCCATGTGAACACATTCCTCGTCTTGGGCTCCTGTTCTGCAACAGTGTATCCTGAAGACATCTGATATGCAGAGCAAGGTATGTCATGCTCTTTCATTTTTCGAGCCAGCTCGAGAAGTGCCTCGGATGCAGGTGGATCGTCGAGCATGGAATACTTCATGCCTCCAGACAGATAGCCAAATGCCCACCGAGGGACCAGTAACGGAAACCCGGCAAACTCGGCATAGGTTGTGACAATATCTTTTAGAGTTTGACCGACAATCACAATCTCTTCGAGACCGCCATAATCCTGTCGATACACCTTGTAGTGTCCCCACATGCCGTCCATTTCGGCACCGATAGAGTACTTTCCCCGTCCATGAGTAGTTGAAAAGAGCGCAACACAGCCGGCGGGTGTTGCATTGATGAGGAGCGGAATATTTTTGTACAATGGGTCTGTCTTGTAGACATCATAGCCAAAGCTGTCCGTGGCAGACAGTTCGAATCGTCGACCTGACAAGTTCATGGGCGCAGCCTTTTCACCAAGACCAACGTGCAGAGTCCCGCGCTTATAGCGAGAGTAGTGCGCAATGCCTTCCCCATCAACGACATAGGACCTGTGAGGAAGATCGGTATGTATTGGCTCCTTGGAGTCGGCATACGAGATGCTGACAAGTGGTGAAGATTCGGTCCAGTCAACATTGGCAACAATATCTCCAATGCGAATCTCTTTGCTGGTACCGCCGCTCCCAACCAGAGTATTGGCCTTCAGGACCCGTTGTCCTAGGGATGGAATTATGACACTAGGGTGAGGGGGGAGGGGATGCGACTCTGATGAGAATGTTGTTCGGAATACATTCGGGGCGATGAGCTCAAACTTGAAGGTAAATGGTAAATCTTGGCTGGTAGATTGCAGCTGTACACTGGGATCCGTGCTGGAGGCACCGAAAAGCTCCCAGGTTGAAGGGACTCGCTCTTGTTGAGGCATTGTGAAGAATGCTGCAAGCCGAGACTGCCTTGCTTGAAGAAGGGTTTGGGCGGGTACGAAGTTTCCCTCAACGACCGCACTTTACGACGACTTGAGTAATATATAGGCCTATTCTGGTCAATGCTATGAAATGAGGCAATAAAACCATCTGTTTGATGGCAAACCCGGATCCGCCGCTTGGCCATGTTGAGCGACAGACAAGCCACTGGAAACCGGATATTGATACAGATGTCCGACCCATGGGGAGTGGAGACTGCTTTGTCTCTTCCGGAGTCATGAACCGCACACACCATGGAACGAGACTGACTCTCATTCTCCCGTTTAACCGTCCAATATCGCACCAGGCCGGAGAAGTGCTTGTTTTGTCCGCATAGCTAGACCACCCAGCCCTCGGAGATCAAGAGGTCAGCCCCGATCGGAGAAACGCAATCATCTCCGGTGGCGCCCAGTCAAGAAGCCAGTAAGCCAGCAAATAACGGCCTTTGACCCGCCTGGTGGCACCAACTATTTCCCACGTTTTGTATCCCCATGGGGTAGACGAAGCCTGGGGTTACGAACACATGGCGGTGTCAACGTACGATTTATTGGGTGTTGGCAACAAGCCCATTACGCTGGACTTGGGTATATATGACCACTGACGTTTCCTTCCTGATCGTCATCGGAGGCGAATGGATTTGAATGCATTCCTTTTCTCTACTACCATCTAGAGTCCCAGACGTTTTGAGTTGACTCACTACCGCGATGGCAAATTCTGGAAACGATTCAAGTGATGGTATTCGACCCCATCAGGAGCCGCAGACGACCAAGTCCGAAGCCGACCATGTTCCCCAGGTTGACCATGCCTCGAGAATGGAAGATGTCCAAGTTGTTGGAAGGGACAAGGCGGCACAGTTCCTCAAACAGGCTGACCATCCCGTGGTTGTGACCCCGGCTGACAATGCCCGCGTGCTGCGCAAGATCGATTGGAGAATCCTTCCCATCATGTTGTTCGTCTACTGTCTTCAGTCTCTAGACAAGACTACCCTATCATATGCCTCTGTCTTTGGTCTGATAGAGGACACGAACCTAGTTGGAGAAGAGTTTTCCTGGCTTGGATCCATCGTATACTTGGCCCAGCTGGTCTTTCAGCCCCTGGTGGCGTATAGCCTTGTCAAATTCCCCGTGGGAAAGTTCTCCGCTACCATGGTGTTTTGCTGGGGTGCTGTGCTGTGTGGGATGACGGCCGCCAAGGACTTTGGGGGGTTGATGGCCTCAAGATTGTTGCTAGGGGCCTTTGAGGCTTCTGTCGGTAAGCTGGGCTATGCTTTAGGGATTGGCCGTTTTATCGAAACGCCATTACTGATGCGTTTTAGCCCCGACATTTATTGCCATTGTGCAGATGTGGTATCGACGACAGGAGCAGACTTCTCGAAATGCTTCTTGGTATGCCATGTTGGGAGTTGTAAATATGGTGGGTTCACGATAATATCACATGTCCAAGGGATTTTGTTTTTTAACTTACTGGGTATAGCTGGGTAGTCTGTTGACGTACGGTCTTGGCCATATTCAGTCGTCGCTGAGGCCATATCAGGTAAGAAAGCCAAACCTCTCACAGCCAGACGAGTGCCTAACGTGCTTACAGATCATCTTTTTGTTTTGTGGATGTATCACAGTTACGTTTTCCGTCGTCATGTTGTAAGTACATACGTCGGACGTCACCATGCACGGTCAATGCTGATGCCAAGTAGCCTCTTCATGCCCGACTCTCCCATGCAGGCTAAATTCCTTAGCCGAGAAGACAAATTCATTGCTATCGAGCGTCTTCGAATGAATCAGATGGGCATTGGTTCCGGGGTGTGGAAATGGGACCATGTGAAGGAGTGCCTGCTTGACCCCAAGACATGGCTTTGGTTCTTGCTCATGCTCATCATTTCGTAAGTGAATATTCCCGGGCGCACCTGCCTTTCCAGAATCCTTGGCTAACGGAATCTTTTCAGCATTCCAAGCGGTGGCATCTCCACGTTTGGTCCCCTCATCATCCAATCGTTTGGCTTCGACAAGTTCACGACGATTCTGTTCAACATCCCCTTCGGCGCCGTGCAAATGATCGCGACGTTGGGGGGCGCCTGGCTCGCCGATCGAATCAAGATGAAGTCTCCCGTACTTCTACTCCTCTGCTTGCCCCCAATCGCAGGCTGTGCAATCCTCCTCGCTGTTGGCCGCGCAAAGAGTGATAGAGCTGTCCTCCTCGCCGGGTACTACATCATCTCCTTCTACCCCGGCATCTCACCCCTCATCTACTCCTGGTCTGGCCAAAACACGGCCGGTGACACCAAGAGAAAGGTCACTACTGCGATGCTCTTCATTGGGGCCAGCGCCGGAAACGTCATTGGCCCTCAACTCTTCAAACCCAGCGAAAAGCCACGCTACGATAGAGGTCTCCGAACAAACCTTGCGCTGTTTGTTGTGCTTGCCGTCCTGATTGTTCTCGGCATGGTCCTGATTCGCATCTTGAATGCCAGACAGGCGGCCAAGCGCAGAGAACTCGGCAAATCCGAGAACGTCAAGGATCTAAGCATGCAGAAGGGTGCTGGTCAGGACAGTGAGGTGCTGAATCACGTGGAGGAGTCAGAGACGGTGGGCGACAAAGCGTTTGACGATGTTACGGATATGAAGAATGAGGATTTCATTTACGTATATTAGTCGGAAATTTTTAGCATGTCATTATCGACACCGCTTGATGAAAAAACCACTTCTTGTACGCGTCACTTCAGAAATTGCCCCCAAGGTGGCAACCTCGGCTCGCACTATTTTGTTCAAAATACTAGCAAGTCACAGTCCTGACGCAGCAGTAGGAGGCGAAACATATTGAACCAGGCCAGGTAGCTAGCTATTGCGCTCTATACTATGATACACTATACTATAGTAGTGTAAATTAGTATATACTTGTCGGTGGGCAAACATATTCTGCCATCCACTGTCCAGTGTATCGGGGGCCTTGGTGGAAGACACACAAGTTCGTCTTCAAACAGTCCAGTATTTCCAGTCCATATACATGCTGGAAAAGAGTACAATATCACAGAGGAAGCCGCCGAAGTACCGAATTAGGGCTCTGCGAGCTTTCTTATTATGCATAGGCTACTTGGCAGCTACAGCGTCATGTATTACAAAATCAAAACGCCCCCTCCTTTTGACTCTCCCACCACTCCTCCAACGAGTCCTAGAACATGATAACCGGGACTCCGGCGGGGAGAGCAAGAACCTGCTGATTGAGAAGGTACCCGCAGCCCTCGGCAATGGCAGTGCCGTCAATATTCTCGGTCAGACAGTTGCCGGATTTGTTGTCGACCAGGTTGCCGGAAGACTTGTACGTCCAGGGGTTGGTGTGGTGTCTAACGCAGCCGCTGGTGGTCTTGACCACGCCGTCGACGGGGACGATGCAATCTTTAGGGCGCAGCAGGCTGCTGACGCGGCCGTCTTCCTTGTGGACGGCCCAAACCTGGGCGTCGGTGCCCTGGCAGGCATCCCAGGTGACGTTGCCGGACGGGCTGTCGGTCAGGCACTTGAGGCTGTTTGTGTTGAAGATGGCGCCGGTGGGCGTGATGGGGCTGATGCTCTGGAGGCGGTAGACGGCGGTGCCGTGGGCCGGAATGTTCTCGATGGTCAAGGGGGCTTCGCCGGGGAGGAGGTAGGTGACCCGGCCCGTCCACAGATCCTGAACAGTAACGTTGCCGTCGCCGATGGCCCCGAAGTCGATGCCGGCGCGCTCCAAGGGGATGTGGACGCTGGCGGCGGAGTCGCCGCGGTTCAGGACGGTCAGGAGGCGGTCGCCGTTGGCGAGGGTCCTGGTGAGGACGTCCCAGGTGGCGTTGCGGCTGACGAGGGTGGCCTGCTGGGCGAGCTTGTCCTGGTCGACGGCGATGAGGCCCGGGTTGGTGAGGAAGTCGATGGTTTCCTTGGGCAGGCTGGGGATGTCGGCGCTGATGAGGAGCGGCGAGGACATGCTGCACCACAGGGCGAACTGCGACTTCTTCTCCTGCATGGTCAGCGAGGGGTGGTCCGGGATGAGGAAGTCCGGGTCGTTGAAGAAGCCGGGCCGCTGGAAGCGGGCGAGGCGCAGGTTCTGGCCGTAGTTGAACATGATGCTCTTCCAGCCGTTGCCGTTGGGATACGTCACAATGTCGGCCGAGTGGCGGGCAAGCTGGCCGTAGTCGGAAGCCCATCCTATGGCGCGGTACCAGTCGGTTAGGTTCTTCTGGTTGGAGAAGTAGGCGGGCGCCGAGTTGGAGAAGACCATGGCGACTTCTTTGGGATAGGACAGCAGCGAGGCCCAGCGGCTGTACATCTCGTGGTACGTCTCCTCCTCGTCGTTGGGCAGGTTGCACCCGTCCATCTTGAGGTAGTCGAAGCCCCAGCGCAAAAAGTCCTGCAGGTCCCGTTTCTCGTGGTCCAAGGCGCCGGGGTATCCGCCGCAGGACAGGCTGCCGGCGTCGGTGTAGATGCCGGGCTTGAAGCCGTTGGACCGCATCCAGTCTGTGAGCCACGGGAGGCTCGAGGGGAACTTGGCCGGGTCGGCAACCATGGAGCCGTTGGCATCTCGCTGCAGAAGAGACCAGGCGTCATCCAGGTTGAGGCGATTGTATCCGGCGGTGCGAAGTCCATTGTTGCTCATGGCCACGCCCGCGTCGATGAAGATGGACTCGTTGATGTTGGTCATGAAGCGTGCCCAGTTGTTGAAGCCCATGGGCGGTGTCGGGAGGATGTTGATGGACGACGCCGCGGCAGAAGACGCCAGGCCCGTGGCGGCCATGGCTACTTGTGCCTTCATGACGGGGTTTTGATGACTTTGAGTCGAAGCCGGACGTCTAGTGTGATTTTTTTGGGTTGGTCGTTGGCTGGCCGCCCAAGGTTTTCTTGTCTTGTCTGTCGATATTTTGTATAAGAAAGAAAGGAAGGAAGGAAGGGGAAAAAATAGAAGAGGATGTGGCAGAATGTATTTAACCTCCAACAAATATACACTATAATTCAAGGCGCGATAGCCGGGTACAAGGGGAATCAAGACCGAAGACAATAAGCTTCCAACATACACCAGCCGGCTCAACGCCCCAAGGCTTAAACATGTGGCCGTCCAAAGGTTAACACTCGTAGTTCCTGTTAGTCGTCACCCCATAAACAGGTGGTTACATTGCATAGTCGCAGTCCATGGTTCAAAACGGTATATCTCATATCTCGTAGTTGCACACGGCACAGTCTCGCCGTCCACGTCTCACTAGCCTGCATCTCAGGACGAAAGAAAATAATAAAAAATAGAGTGTGGTGCAGCAGTCAAATTTGTGTACGTCAATGGCTTGATATGATTAGTCGGGCGATTCATGGACCCTTTCGGCCCAAAAAGGAAGCTCAAACATGCCGGGCCGGAAGATGGGGTCTTGCCATTCCCTCTGTTGGTTTGGACAGCGCCATGACGGACCACGGATGTCCAGATTCTGTTTTATTGACGTCCATGTCGGGACTGCGCAACGTTGCAGGAAAGGCAACGTTGCTCAACTAGATTAAACTATGACTTGACTTTATCAATGCCGGGACCCGGGGTTCATCATGTTGGGGCAGGCTCTACGACGGTGAGATGCAGATCCACTGAGCGGACTGTGCGCTGCCATCTCACGATTGGAGCGGCTGATTGATGGTGTGTTTACGGATTGGTTCTTCTGGGGATTGTCATTTATCGTGGGCGCGTGGCGAGTTGGACATGACGGAGGGCACGACAGGCAGACCGCATGTACATGTATCATCGATGCTTGATGCCGAGTTGGGGAAGCGCAAAGTCACAACCCAAGTACGGGAATACGGATCTGGACGGCCCCGATGCCGTTCACCCCCCCCCCCCCCCCCCCCCTGATCTGCCTCATGGCTTCAAGGGTCAATGTGCCTGTGGCTGGCAACCCCGGACTCTGCAGATTGACCGACGAGTCGAGCCAAGGCCATCTCCCGCTCCTCGTTCGTCTTCAGCCTTGCCACGCCTCCTTGGCTCCTTGGCGGAAGACGGCGGAACTCTGTTGTGAGGTGGCCCAGGTGCCGGCTTGTGTCTGATGTCGAAAGTATTTGATGTATGTACATTCAATCTTGACTCCATGTCGTCTTGGTGGCTTGTGTTGGCGCGCACATAGTCCCATCACCACCGAATCGCCCGGCAACCCGGACTGTGCCCCGACCTGACGCTTGCATCTTCTCCGGCAGGTCGTAGCGCAGATCTATGCATCAATACGGAAGCTGACTCCTCGTGCACCACATAGCCAAGCGGGGAACCTTTAACTGTGCCTGGACTCGTCAAGCCACCCAAGTTGTTCTCGTAACCGGCGGAAGCATCTCCACTATGCATGCACAAGTGACGTTGTGGCCTGTGTTGCTCAGTCTACCTTTTTATAAAAGTGCCATAGAATGGGAGAGGTGAGGGCTTTCTCCAAATGGGCTGACTGGTCATCCAGACAGTCGCCTACCCCAACACTCGCTTCGAGGCAAAGCCGGCAACGGCATGGACGATATCGGCTCCTCGTCTTCTTGATGCTACCTACGCCCAACTTTAATCTCATGGGTTGCCCACCATGGACTAGAAACCCGGCTTAAAAGGACCTCGGTATCCTGCATTACGGGCCCCTTTGGATCTGTCCGTAGATTTTCCCAACATAGAAGCTTCCTTTTCCTCTCCTTCCTTCCATCTCGGGCCCGCTAGTCTCAAGGAGGAGGCTGAGATAGGCCCAGAGAAGAAGTCTGGTAGATTACATCAAAAGAGTCATGCTTGGCAGAGGAGTGGCAGCAGCAGTCTTCGGCTGGGCTGCGGCTTTGCTATCGCTTGCAAAGCCACTCGTTGCCGCCCATCGTGGCAACTTTACCTATGACCGTCACAACTTCTTGCTCGATGGCGTTCCTATCCAGTTGATCGGGGGCCAGATGGACCCCCAGCGCATTCCGCCCGCCTACTGGACTCAGCGGCTGCAGATGGCAAAGGCCATGGGCTTGAACACGATATTCTCCTACGTATTTTGGAACAATATTGAACCGACAGAGGGCTCATGGGACTTTGAGGGACGCAATGACATTGCCCGGTTCGTGCGGCTCGCCCAACAGGAAGGCCTCTATGTCGTCCTCCGTCCTGGGCCGTATATATGCGGCGAACATGAATGGGGTGGCTTCCCTTCTTGGCTCAGCCAGATTCCCGGCATGGCCGTGCGGCAGAACAACAAGCCCTTTCTAGATGCATCCCGCAACTATCTTGAACAGCTCGGCAAGCACCTGGCCGCCACGCACATTTCCCAGGGCGGGCCGGTCCTCATGACCCAGCTGGAGAATGAATACGGCAGCTTTGGCAAGGACAAGGCCTATCTCCGGGCCATGGCGGACATGCTGAAAGCCAACTTTGACGGGTTTCTCTACACCAACGACGGCGGCGGCAAGAGCTACCTCGACGGAGGCTCCCTGCACGGCATCCTCGCAGAGACGGACGGCGATCCCAAGACGGGCTTCGCCGCCCGAGATCAATACGTGACTGACCCTACCATGCTTGGGCCGCAGCTAGACGGAGAGTACTACGTGACCTGGATTGACGACTGGTCGAGCAACTCGCCCTACCAGTACACCTCTGGACGGCCTGATGCCACCAAGAGGGTTCTCGACGACCTCGACTGGATCCTGGCCGGCAACAACTCCTTCAGCATCTACATGTTCCACGGCGGCACCAACTGGGGGTTCGAAAACGGCGGCATCTGGGTCGACAACCGCCTCAACGCAGTCACGACCAGCTACGACTACGGCGCGCCTCTGGACGAGAGCGGCCGCGCGACCGGCATCTACCGGCAGATCCGAGACGTCATCTCCAAGCACGTCCCGGCAGGCACCATCCCCGAGGTTCCCCACGTGCCCGACCTGACCACCATCGACGACTTTGCCCTCGAGCCCGCCGTGGCGCTGTTCGACACGCGCAGCGACAAGCCCGCGGTCCAGGCCGGCAGCCCCGTCCCCATGGAGAAGCTGGGCCAGGCATTCGGCTTCGTGCTGTATGAGCACCGCGTCTCCGCGGCCGTCAGCGGCGCCATTGCCCCCGGTGACGGGCCGCGAGACCGCGTCATGGTATACGTCAACGGCGCCAGGGTCGGCGTCGTGGACAAGACGCACGCGGCCCCGGCGCCCGTCAGCGTGGACCTGAAGCAGGGCGACGTCCTGCAGCTCCTGGTCGAAAACCTCGGCCGCATCGACTACGGCCAGCAGCTCAGGGAGCAGCAAAAGGGCATCGTGGGCAACGTCACGGTCGGAGGGGACGCCGTCCTGGAGGGATGGTCTGCGTATTCCCTGCCGCTGACGGACCTGCCCGCCGCCCTGGCCGACGAGAATTCCGAGACGCCTGAAATCAAGGATGGGGGCGCTCCCGTCTTTTACAAGGGCACGTTTGGCCTGCCCGCGGGGGCCGGCAATGACCTCAGCGGCGACACCTTTCTCTCGCTGCCCAACGGCGTCAAGGGCAGTGTCTGGGTCAATGGCCATCACTTGGGGCGGTATTGGGTCGTGGGACCCCAGCAGAGTCTGTATGTGCCGGGCGCGTATCTGTACGGCGGGAATAAACCCAATCGCGTTGTTGTTCTTGAGCTTGAGCCCAAGGCCGGTGCGGACATGGTTGCCCGCGGACTGGCGACGCGAGAGTGGGCGAACCATCCTGACCCTGATGTCGCGTGAAGGAGTGATGAAGTATGATGAGAATGGGATGCATGATGGAATGAAACACCACGAGTATAACCCTTCTCGGTTCGCTTCTAGGTATAATCAATATATTGTACATGTATGCAGAAGATTTTTCGTAAATCACATGTCTCGTGCCAAAAAAAAAAAATGCTTGTATGCTAGCCACACACTATCCCTCTCATTTGGTATCGCTATCCTCTTACACCAAGTACCTGAAGCCCTTGCGCATGCGCAGAGACTCGTCCGTGTTCTCAAGGTACTCGTCTCCCTCGGGCCTGTTGCCGGCGCTCTGGCTCGTCTCGGCCGTCTCCTTGTCCTCCAGCTTCTGGTTGAGGCGGCTCAGCATCATTCTAAAGATCCAGCAGCCGACAATAGTGACGCCAAACATGGACAGCACGATGCCGTAGCTCTTGCGGTACCCGTTGTCCTTGAGCGCCCAGACGTACGACCCGGCCACGTTGCCCAGCTGGCTGAAGGCGTTGATGAGGGCAATGGCGACGGCTCGCTTCGCCGGGGGCCGGGGGAAGGAGGAGCTGATCCACGAGTAGAAGACGATGAAGCCGGCGTAGGAGCCGGCCTGGAGGAACAGGGCGACGTAGCGGGCGGCCACGTTGAGCGTGGACATGCTGATGATGAAGCCGACGATGCCCATGATGATGGGGCCGACAATGTGCCAGAACTAGGTACGAGGCAGATGATTAGCAACTAAACGGGCGCCAGGGGGCGTTTTATTCAAGGGAAATACCTTTTCTTGCGTCCGGTCGGCGTGCCAGGCGTTGATGATGGAGATGAGGCATGAGAATGCCCAGGGGGGAGAGCTCATGAGCAGGGTAGGCACGTATGCGAAGCCCAAAGTTCCCGTGAGGGTAGGCTATTCCGGTTCATTAGTTTCGCGCCGGTCAGAGGCAAAGGGGGAAAACGCACGAAAAAGGCATTGAAGGACAAGCCAACGACATAGGCGGTAAAGGTGAGCATCATGACGTAAATCTTGTAGTCGGTCAAGGCCATGATGAGGCCGTCAAAGGCGCCCTGGTCGGCCGCGTCGGTGTCGGCCTCGCCAACATCCTCAATCATGCGCAGCTGGGCGACGGCCCTCTCCTCCTCGGTGAAGCCGCGCGCGTTGTGCGGCAGGTCGGGCAGGATCAGGGCGGCCAGGAGGGCGACAAACATGGTGACGGCGCCCTCGATCCAAAACAGCCAGCGCCAGGCGGCGTGGCCCAGGACGCCCTGCATGTTGGACAGCACGCCGGCGCCGACGAGGGCGGAGAAGGCGTTGGAGATGAGGTTGCCGCAGAAGAGGACGGCGTTGCGCGTCGTCAGCTCCCGGCGCGTGTACCACTTGGACAGGATCAGCAGCGCGCCGGGCAGGAAGGCGGCCTCGATGAAGCCCAGGAAGAAGCGGATAATGACCATGCCCGTGAAGTCCTTGGCGTTGCCCGACAGCGTCGAGATGAGGCCCCAGACCAGCATGGCGCAGGCAATGTACAACGACGGCCGCTGGATGCGGTTGATGAACATGTTGGACGGCACCTGCATCAGGATGTAGCCCACGTACAGGATGCTCAGGCACGTGGCGTACTGGGTGTCGTCGAGCTTGAGGTCGTCCTGGAGCCCCTTGAGCCGCGCCGAGGCAATGTTGTTGCGGTCGAGGTAGTTCATGATGTAGATGAGCACAAACAGGCCGCAGCGCGCGTCGAGCTTGCGCTTCAGCTTCTTCTCGACGGCAGCTCGCCGCGCCGGATCCATCTGGGGAAACTGTGGCATCTGGGACTGGGGGCCGACGTGCTCGAGATTTTCCACCACGTTCTTCTCGACGTCTGCGTGCGCCGCAGGCGCCGGTGAGATGTTGTCTCCAGACATGGTTTGGCTGCTTGGGGGGGGGGAAGGGGAGAGAAGTAGGGCGAGCCGGGGCAGAAGGGAAAACAGTACAGCTCGGAACCCGACGAAGAAAATTTAAAGTCTAAAGAGGTTTATATATGCTGTTCGTGCTGCCACTGGTCGTCCATGACGGTACCGAAAGCAAGGGGGCCAAGGCCATACATGAAAAGGAAAAAATTGCCAAAACACCACATGATGGCGCTTCTCCACACTCTTTTCCCCGGAACAACCAGAGTCGTGCGGTCGACCGCCGTTTCTTCCCCTCCTTTTCTCCGCCTTGTTATAAAACAACGGACCACATTGTGGAGGAGCGTGGGCAGACGAGGGCAGACGAGGGCAGCCGCCTCTCGTGCGCGTGTGGTGTTGCGCGCCACCCCGTATGAAGATGCTGGGTCCCCGCAACTTGGTTGGAGAAGAAGGCAGGGATGAGGACTCATGGCAACAGCGAAGAGAAGGACGGTATTTCCGCATCCAATCTTGCATGGCCGTGGCCCAGGCTCCGACGGAGTACGAGCATCGCCTAGACCAGACTAGTCGTTGAACAATTTGCGTCGTGTTATGCGCGAGTTTGGCCCCAAGGCACATGACCCGTACCCTGGATTTGAAAGCCATTATTCATGCTTTGTGTCCGGGCATGGAACCGCGAGATGTAATCAATTGATCCTTGCCTCAATACATACCTACGGAGTACAAGCTTCCGAGCTCATGCCGGGCTTTTGCCTCAGCTGCCATGTATCATCAATTGATCCTACACATCGGCAAATGGACCCCGTGAAAAAGGCGTCTCGGTATCCCTCCTCCGTGGACCGTGGTGTCGCCATCGGCAATTGACCGCGGCTGCATCTCACCAACAGCATTGAAGCACTTGACCAAATCTGCAGTGGCTGCCGCCACCGAGACGGTCCGATTCCCCGTTGCGCCATCAAACACCCCCATTGACAGCTTCTAGATCAAGGCAAGAAAGGCAAAGCTGCCTGTCGGCGAGAGTGTTTCCCCTGGCCTCGTGGGCTCGTGACTTGCAATACCTGGGCGTCGCAATCTAGGCAATGATGCCCGCGGAACAGCACCTCATTCTTATTCAGAGTTCAAGAGACGACTGGTGCTGAGCAAGGCAGGCCCAGGCCCCCCCTTGCTCGAGTAATAACTAGATTGGGTTCAAGGTGTGGTTATGTGGAGATTGTGGGCTGTGACTTGACTCGTGAGACTGGGGTGGCCATTGTATGGACATGTATGGTTCGCCGAAGGACTTGACAAATGGTGTAAATGTTGGAGCGCTGTTTCACGCAGTGTCGAGTTGTCAAGTCGTACTTCCACATGGGGAGCAATGTTAGATATGATGCATAGATCGACTGTCATACACGTGTTGATGTTGTATCGTCATTTTGACCTCGTGGTGTTGAGTCAAGCCAACTTGTTAAACCCTACCTGGCCGCCGAGTAGGCATGTCATAATTATAGATGGATCGGTAGTAGTTCACGGCAGGCTTATATCGCCGTTGCAATTGCACGCATTACGTTATCCCGAGCTCAGCGTGATGGAGAACCAATTGCGCATGGAAGATGGCATGTGTCGTGTATGCCGCAACTACAAATTGTGTCCTCTTCATTCATCGTATGCCACGCCTTGGGAGTCGTCCCGCAAAACTTTGTATACCTCCCTAGGACCGTTTTTCAATTACAAATTGGAGGGGAGGCGTTTTGGGGTGACCTGTTGGGCCCGGCCCAACGAGTCAATTGAATAATGGCGGATTTGATGGCGTTGGTGAGATCTCACGATGCCGCCCAATTTTACCCAAGGAAAGAAACTTGGTCGGCATTTGTAGTCGTCAACAGGCAAATCCTTCTCAGCAGCTTCTCCTCGCTCTTCTCTTTCCTAAAATTGTCCAACATATTATTCCTCTTATCCTCCATTTTGTCCAATTTCCTCTCCTCACTGGTTTGCAGGTACTGGCAGTTTAACCCTAACCCTGAGCAGTATCAATATTGGGCCGGACGCCGACTCGGATCGGCCGTAAGCGGGTGTTGAGGAACAACTTCCAACTTGCCCCACCAACTTTCTTTTCTGGCAGCGCCATCCATCGTCATCATCTCATCCACCACCCAACTTGGCCATTCAAAATATTTACGATGCAGCTCAGAATAGCAAGACTTTGCATTGCCTCTAGAAGCCTACTGCATCCTGTCTACAAACGCCGGTTGGAACCGACTCCGAGAGCACCCTCGCAGCCACCAACGTCTTCCTCCATCGCCATCGTCCCGACTTCGGCCTCACCAAGGTCCCATCAAGTCAAGGCCACATAAAACGCCCGCGAGCAATCTACAATACCAAATCACATGTCTCGCCAGGCCAAGTCATGCACCCGCTGCCGGCAGCAAAAAGTCCGCTGTGACCGTGTCTCGCCCCGTTGTTCACGATGCGCCTCCTCCAAGGCGAGCTGCTCATTCTCGCAGCAACCATGCGCCTCCGTCTCTCCTCCGCCATCGACGCCCTCGGCCAGCACCGAATCGCAAGACCTGTTCCTCTCCCTCCCATCTAGTCCGTCGCTCGTGCCGGAGGAGCCTCACGGACGCCGGGTTGAGCCAGAGCCCGCACATCCAAGTCCCGGCGGCGGACGCGGCATCCCGGCCAAGCGCAAGAAACGCCGCCGGGCTTGTCTGTCCTGCGTCCGCTGCCACCGTCTCAAGATCAAATGCGACAAAAAGGAACCCTGCACACGCTGTCGTCTCTCCGGCTGGGGTCGACAATGCGAGTACACGCACAGGGTAGAGCCGAGCGGTGAGGCTGCGTTGCCCTACGTCCTGACCGAGGAGGATCCTCAAGTTGCGCTCGCGACGTGGCATTCGCCCCATAGGGGGTTGAGCCATTGGCGGAGTTTGCTTTCCAAGGCAAGTTGTCTCGCGCCCAGCGTCTTGTTCCCTTTCCGCAAATCACCAGACCTGACTCGTCTTGCAGCTCGGGTGTGTCGCCCAACTCGAGTCTCTGCCTGTCCTCGCAACCGAAGACGCCATTCTTCGCAACCTCAGCGCTACAGGTGGCGTCATGCTGCCCGACAACTTTCCCTTCAACAGTCCCCGCGCCTCCCCGTTCGCCTGTATCCAAAAGGTGCGGACTCTGATCGGCTCGCACCGCGGGGACTGCGACGCCTTCGTCGAGGGATACCTGGACCTGTACCAGATGGTGCACCCCATCATCGACACGGACGAGTTCCGGGCCCGCGTCTCTGCGTACTGGGACGACCCTCGGTGCCCAGATGCCGCCTGGCTCAGCCAGTTCCTCATGGTCCTCGCCCTGGGCCAGCTGGTCGTCACGGGAAAGACGGCGCCGACCGTGGAGCTGTGCATGGCGGCAGAGGCGTGCCTTGCCAAGACGCCGTTTATGCTGAGGCCCAACATATCCATCATGCGGACCATGTGCCTCATGGTGCTGGCCAAGCTGACGACAAACGCGACGTGCTGGTCGTTTGACGCCTGCTGGAATCTGCTGGGGTTTGTGGTCCGGCAGGCGATATGCCTGGGCTTTCACCGACGACATCCCCCAACGTACCCGTCGCCGCCGGTCGAGTACGCGGACTGGGAGGCGGGCAGGGTCATCTGGACCACGCTGCTGTATTTCAACATCCAGGTCGCCATGATCTCGGGCATGCCATCGTGCCTATCCACCGATGTCATTGCCTCGCACGACCTGGCGTCGGACCTTGGGCCTCTGGACACGGCGGCGCTGGCATGGCACAGCGTCATACACACGTCCGGCCCGACCATCATCAAGATCATCTCGCGCGTCAACGCAGACACGAACCTGCCCTCGTACGCGGAAATCCTCGAGTACAGCAGCCAGGTCCGGCAATGCATGAGCATACTCGATCGCGTCCAGGGGCCTCGCACGCTGCGCATGACGCTCGACATGTTCTTCCGCCGCGTTCTGCTCGTGCTCCATCGCCGCCACGCGCTCGACGTCGACGCGCCCAGCAAGTATCCCGTGTCGTACTGGGCCTCGCTCGAGTGCAGCCTTGCGCTGCTTGTCCATCAGCGCGACCTCTACGACCAGGACAAGGCGCCCCGGGGTGCGGATTTGCTGGTCCGCCTCTACATGCTGGACGTGTTTGCGGCGGGCATGACGGCGACGATTCACTTGCTGAGGAAAGACGCGCCCCTGGCGTCGGGCTTCGCCATCCCGCCCAGGCAAACCATCCTCGAGACGTTGCAGGCGTGTACGGAGCTGTGGGCAAACGAGACGATTCAGAGTCCCTGCTTCAAGATGGGCCATGCCTTGCTGGACAGGGTTGTGGGGGCGTTGCTCGAGGGAACTGTCTCTCTTCCGTGAGGGGAATGGTGATGGCACAGAGACTGTGTAGTCGTAGTACTAGACATATCTCCAAGGACTCGGGCCGTCTGAGTAAATGAGATGGCTTCTTCCGACTGCCCAGCGTCGTATGCCGTGGATCCGCGCCGCAAGACAACCATCTCGGCTCTATCCAGCAAACCACATCACACCACCCCATGCCAATACTCGCAACCATGTACGGAGCATGTACCCCCACGCTCATCCGGTGCCGGAGCGGGGGAACACCGATCAAGTCAATTGATAATCACTTACAACCCAAAACGAACCATCTCGCGACCCTCGGCCATCACCAACCACACCACGCACCCAACACCAAGGATGGGCAAAATAGCCAAGATTGAGTATTTCCGCGTGCCCCCACGATGGCTCTTTGTCAAAATCACCGACCAAGACAACAACACCGGCTGGGGCGAGGCCTCCCTCGAGGGCCACACGCAGGCCGTGGAAGGATGCCTCGACGCATGGCGCGAGCAATACACCGGCCTCGAGGCAGAGTACGCCATCCATCCCGCGCCCGTCCATCTCACGCAAAACTAACCTCCCAGCCAGCGACATTGAGCAAATATGGCAAATGTCATGGCGCAAGTCCTTCTACCGCGGCGGCCCCGTGCTGATGAGCGCCCTGTCCGGCCTGGACATTGCCCTCTGGGATCTAAAAGGCACGACTCCAGACAAGACATACTCCCGCCATCTACACCACTAACCCTCCGCACCCGCAGCCCGCAAGCTCAATGTCCCCATCTACCAGCTCCTCGGGGGCAAGCTGCGCTCCAAGCTAAAAGTATACGCCTGGATAGGCGGCGACCGGCCGTCCGACGTCGAGCAAGCCGCGTAAGCACCCCCCCATCCCATCCAGAGGCGTCAACACTCGGCGCCGAGTCCTGACAAAAAAACCCGCAGCCTCGCCCGCAAGGCCCAGGGCTTCACGGCGGTCAAGATGAACGCCACCTCGGACATGGGCTGGCTCGACTCGCCCGCCCGGCTGGCGAGCTGCGTGGAGCGCGTGCAGGCCGTCAAGGCGCAGGGCCTCGACGTCGGCGTCGACTTCCACGGCCGGCTGCACCGCCCCATGGCGAAGCAGCTCGCGGCGCTGCTGGCGCCCCTGCAGCCGCTCTTCATCGAGGAGCCCCTGCTCCCGGAGCACATCGAGGCCGTCCGCCAGCTCGCGGGCCAGGCCGCCGTGCCCGTCGCCCTCGGCGAGCGCCTCCACAGCCGCTGGGACGCGAAGCCCTTCCTCGAGGCGTCGTGCGTAGACGTCCTGCAGCCCGACGTCTGCCACGTCGGCGGCATCTCGGAGCTTCGCCGCATCGCCGCCATGGCCGAGGCCTACGACGTCCCCATCGCGCCGCACTGCCCGCTCGGGCCCGTCGCCCTCGCCGCGTGCCTGCAGGTCGCTGCCGCCACGCCCAACTTTGCCATCCAGGAGATGAGCCTGGGCATACACTACAATGTCGCCGGCTACGACTTGCTGAGCTACATCACGAACCCGCACATTTGGGACGTCAAGGACGGCTATGTGGAGCTGATGGACGGGCCGGGGCTGGGCATTCGTGTCAATGAGCATCTGGTCCGGGAGGCTAGCAAAGGTGCCGAGGCGTGGGTGAGTCCTGGCTTTGTTGGCCCGGGTGGTGAGTTGAGGGAGTGGTGATGGGGTCGTTCATGGGTTGGCAGGACAAGGGGAAATGAAGGGTTGGTGACCTTCTTGGGCAAACGTACATCTGCTCAGGGGGCAACCACATCGTTGGATTGATTCAGCAATCATTTCTGCCTAGCTGAAATTAGGGCCTGCGCAAGTGGTTGCTCAAGACCTGCTTAGGCACACAGGTGCATGCATGCACAGGACAATACCGCAATGGCACCAGACATCAAACACTCAAATGTCCTCCTGGCATTCATGGTATCAATGGTATCAATTCAGCTTCACGTCATATACTCTATCGAGCCTAAACTTGGGCCATGTAACAACCATGCTGTACCTTCACTGCTTCAGCCTAATCATTGGCGGGTCCGCTTTAGCTACGCCCACGCTTTGTGAATGAGCCTGCTGTGAATAGTACAGCCATTGAATCCATCGTCCACTTCAGTAACATGAAAAAAGACAAAAATTCATCGCTTTCATTTATGCAATCGGTGCGCACGTAAAGACGCCTCTGGTTCTGCCAGTCTGGAATGACAGTATCTAATGGACATGGTTAGCATCAGGGCTTCATACATGTTCAGACACGCAAAAGGGACAACGAAACAAGACAAGACCAGGCGGGTAACGTACAATGTCGTCAACACTGGCATAGGTGCCGCACACCAAAACCACAATGCCAATAACGAAGCAGGCTGCATTGGCAATCGATCGCAGCAGGTTTTCTCGGGAGTGCCAACTCCCCTTTTTGAGGAGCTTGAACCACATCCATGCAGGCAGGTAAAATGTGAAGCCAGAGATGAATAGGGACGAGGAAATCGACAGCAGATCATTGAAGAAGGGGATCACCTCAGCAATGATGAAGGCGGCGACAGTAATGGCGCTAATAACAGCAAACCAGGTCGCCCAACCCTTGGGGGTGTTGATAAATCGGGTAATCGAATCCTTGTAAATTCGTCCGTGGATATATCGGCCAATAACAGTTGTATTAATCGATCCAGAGATAAAGATGACGGGCAAGGCAACCCCAAATGCAATCTTGGAAACAGTATGACCAGCAGAGAGCAGTGACGGGGACTTGACATCAACACCGACAAACGAGTACACGAGAGCACCAGTGAGAGTGTAAATGAAGATCTCAATAAGACCAAGCGCCCAGATAGACTTGGGATAGTCGGTGGGGGTGTGCATTTCATCCATAAAGGAGAACTGGCACATGGAGAAACTGTACGCGAAGCAGATATTGGTAATGGCGATAAATCCTTCGGCAAAAGTGAGTCCCTCCTTGGGCCAAGCTGACCAGCCAACGGCGGACAGGCCACCCTCTGCCTGGCCAGCCCTAACACCTGTAGCGATAATTGTGATACCAATGGCCACCAGGATCGAAACGAAATCGACGTAGCCCAGGATGGCCACCTCGGCAAACGAAGGGGGAATGGCAAGCAGAAGCAGGAGGATAGCCGAGACGACGCCAAAGACGACTGAGCAAGCTCCGTTTTCTGTTATGTTGAGAAAAGCGATGGTGCCCGTCAAACAGTGAGATCCGACAAGGAAAGTCAACTGCAAAACGAACATGGCCCCGACAACTTCGTATCCAAGGCGACCAGCTAGCAGCCGTCCAGCGTCTGCATAATGGGCAACTTCCGGGTACGCAATTTTGACCTGTCCGACGATATCAGACGTGTAGATGGCGATGAGACCGAGACCAACACAGCATATAACACCGGCAACCATGCCGAGAGAGGCAAAAGCCGCGGGCAAACTCAGAGCCCCGAGAGCAATGGCCTCAACAATGAGAACAACCGTTAGACGTTTCCATCCCAGACGGTTAAAGTGTGCGTTGCCCTCGGCAGTCTTTTGCTTCTCTAGATCGGTGCGTCTCTCCTCGAAATCCGTCACCTCGCCCTCGATGGGACCACTGAGGACATTATCTGAAGGGGTGTGATCGGAGCTGGAAGAATCCTTCTCCTTCTTGACGTGCTCGGAGAAAGCGTGGTCGCGCACGACAGGGTCCGACATGGTCAAGGTAGCTGCTGGCGTGTCTTGGGGACCGTATATATGATGCGTATAAAATGTGTCCGACCAGGGATGGGGATATTTAAAAATACCCAAGGGGTCGTCGACGGCTGGCGAGGACGATGTCAAACACGGGCGCCGGCTGAAGGCTGCTCTGGCCAACTTGGTCTGGCGCAGTCAATCAATGCTGACTCCTGTGGTCAACCGAAGCGGCAGAGGTAAAGGATTGAGGGAAACCAGAAGAAGAAAATAGAGAAGGAGGGTTGTGGGATGGGAAGAGAAAAATGGGGGAAAGTGCCAAGAGGGGACGAGCGAGGTTAAAAGGAAGTGGCCAGACAAGAGGAACAATGAGCCGCGAGAGAGGACCGGTGTGAATCAGTGCTGATCGTGTGGAGGAGATGGAGCTTGTCAACTTGCATCTGACAAGCCTAGTTGGACGAAGAGACGTAGTATGTAGGCGCAAAGGGTTTCGCTACTCCGCGGCAGATAACGATACACGACGACGAGAGACAAGGGTTGTAGACGGGTTTGGGGCTTGCAGCAGCCGGGATCAGGATGCAAGAAAGGAAGGGGGGCGGCTAGGGTGGTAGGAGGAAGTAAAATTGGCCTAGTCGGCTAGGTCGAGGAGAGTGTGGTGAAGTTTAGAAGCAATGGGATATGCGCGGCCATGCAAAAGCTGAGGCGACCCAGGAGGGGAGGAGATGGCGACCAGGCAAGTCGGCAGATGGCGCAACAGCGATGGACAAGGCATGGCCGAGCCTGCGGGTGAACTGGTGTCACCAAGCGTGGCAATATGAACGAGGCCATCCGGACCCGGAGAGGCAAAGTTGGCCGGCAGGTAACAAACACCAGGGCCATTTGAGACCAGGCACTTGAGACCAGCACCCCGTGGCCCGGGAAGTCCTAGTAGTACTACTACTTAGTAGTAGTCAAGTAGCACTACTCCTACTCCGTACTCCGAGCTACGAACAGACCGGAGAGTCAAGACATTGGACTAGAATCAGAGACAAAGGCCCTAAACGGCAAGGCGGCGGGGCGAGCGTAGAAAATGAGGATGTGGATGCGGATGTGGATGTGGATGCGGATGCGGATGTGAGTGTGGATGCCGGTGATGCGTCTGGCGGAAGCAGCACAAGAGCCTGCACCAGGCAAAGAAAGCCCAGTTGACGCTCGGGCTTGAAGATGCGCTTGCCTGTATTGTATTGTATAGTATTGTACCGTAGCGCATCGTACTGTGTTGTCGCGTGTTCGCAACAAAAACGCGCAGGGTCCGGGCCAGCATCTGACTGTCCTTGTCGCCGAAGCAGCGGCATTTCATGGCTCTTCATCTCCATTCCATTGTCGCTATGGGGTCATTGAAATGGGACCGAGATCCAGACCGTCATCCTTTGCAAGATAAGAGATAAGAGGAAAACTCTATCGTGCCTGGCTGCCGTCGTCGCCCTCTGAAGCTTGTATGTACTCGACGGAATGCCGCAGTACCCCAGATGCCCACTGACGGCTCCCCGCAAACGTTGTTTTCGTTTTAGATTCGCCCGGCCAGAAGTAGAGGAAGGCATCGGTGCATCGCGAAGCACAGCATGCCGATGCGGGATTAGTCTTGGTTGGGGTTGTCAGCGCCAGGCTTTGCTTTCCTTGCCCTTGGGGCGGCCCTCAAATGGACGAAAGACGAATTTTGTGAGGGTAATGGGGTGGGTCGCAATGTGTTGCTCCGAGTCCAATTATGTGTAAATCATCGTCATCGACGGAGTCCTGGCCCCTTTGGCAGATAACGGAGCAACCAAGGAGAGGAGGCGACGAGGATGCAATGCCAGCCAGGGCTCCCGGCCAAGTCCGTTTCTACTGCTACGTGTCCTTGCCCGTGCGTGGAACTTGTGCGGGTTAACGGGCGCCATGGAAGAAGAAAAAGACTGGATCTGGCGGCCATCTGCCCATTGTACGACGAGTTACATCGTTCTCATGCTGCTGGCTCGGGTGGAGAGCTGCCTTTATTGAGTCAGTTTCCATGTGTCAAGAGACGAACGACCCGCCAGCGAGTTTCCACCCGTACGACAGCTCGTGGTTCGTGATGAAGGGACCTGTTTCGTGGCATCGTGGACCCTCTGGGGTAGCATTACCGTGAGGCCCTGAATTTGTTGTCCAGCATGAGGTGACACGCAGGCAATTGTATAACCCCAGAGGTTTGCAACCGAATGCGGGACACTGGCTGTGGTTGTCGGATGCCGGATGGGGGAAATGACGTCGGGTATTACCATGCCGTACATGTTGGTGTCACTGGTGGCTTGCTCTCCAAGCGCTGCAGCCAAGCAGAAACTTCTGCCTCCCGTCTGGGCATGGCCAATCAATTGCTGGATAATGTGCCAAAGCAGAACGCCCGTGTTGTGTCATGCGCCACCCAAGTCGGCACAGATTGCCGCGAGCCGCAAGCCACCAGCCGCACCCATCCAAGCCTCGGACTGTGCGGTGCGCGATATGTTTGCCAGTGCCTGCGAAGAGTGGTGGGTGAAGCCAGGGTAGTGCCGCCTTGCTTGGCCGGGCGGCACCTGGGGCATCTTGGGCCTTGGCTGTGTGGTGACAGCCAGAGCCAAGCCAGGGATTCAGCCGTTCGGGTTTTGAGGTTGGCCGTCTCGAGTCTAGGGCTCGCTGTCCCGGTGCCTGTTCATCTCGACTGCAATCGTTCGATGCTGCTTCTTCGGCGGCTGCATCTGCACGGTTGTCCGGCCTTGGCAGACCTGGGCAGAGCAGAGCACCAGACAGATCAGATCAGGTGACTGCCCAGGCGAGCTCCGTCATGACGCCCACCAGCCCGTCGCACCTTCCCTTTGCATGCCAATGAGCAACATTGAACGCCAGCGATGAGGGCTAGCCATCAATCCGGCCACAAGGCCACGCAAAGCCACACACAAAAGCCTCGTCCTAATCTGAAACCTACACTCACTCTAAACTCTGAATTCTGACCACCACAGCTGACATCGCCACAGCCGTGACGAAAACAT